AAACAACATGTAATCAGAAAAAAATCTATAATATAAATCTAAACAAAACATCCACATTAGTGCTGAGTAGATCAATAGGTACCACTCCGGTGGGAAGGTAATGGCACTTCATGCAGTCATGCCGGCCACATGACCCTGGAGGTGTCTATGGAGAGTTCTGGCTCTTCAGCTTAGAAATGGAGATGAGCACCAACCCCCAGAATTGGACATGACTGGATTTAATATCAGGGGAAAACCTTTACCTTATACTTATGAAACAAATATCTTCACCGACTGGAGTCTAGATCCGCAAAATTTAGATCGCAAATGTTGTCAGTAGGAATGGGGAAATGGATTGGTTTAGCTTTTTGTCATCTTTGAATGTTTAAACTTCAAGTTCTTTCCTTCCTGAATGTACTATATAAAGATTTTGGCAAATTCTTATAAAATGAACGGAAGCTAAGTTCTTCCCTGTTTGTACCAGCAAAAGGTTTAGCGGGCACAGCTATTCTCAGCGTGAAAAAGAACACCATCTGAAGAGCTGTTATGTCGAAGACTGAATAAGTTTGTTTTCTGCTGCTCCAAGGATTGGACCACATCCACAGGGGAGAAATACCTGTCACGTCTACATTGCATTTTTGTTCTTCCAAAAATCCCCCCCCCCCAAATCTAAGCACTGACAGGTGATGAGATTCTTTCCTGAAACATCCAAGCTACAGACTTTGACAAATCTTTTTTTTAAATGCTCTGTCTAAGCTGAAAGTTCACACACTTGAAATTCCTGTTGATTTTAAGTAAGCATATTATTTCACTGATTCCTGTGATTATATTTCTTAAAGCCAAGCCACTGTGGCTAGTAAAATTTCCATCCCCAAACATGCAAACTATGTGTTTTTATGCAAAGCCTTCTATTATTCTAGCTTTGGGTTAGCTCAGAGTCGTATTAAGTTGATGTCAAGAAATGGATCCAAGTGCAACAAAAAACGAATGCATTCCTTTAATCCTTCAGCACATTATCTTTAAGCAAAGATTGGTTTCTCCCTTTTTTATCGCAAAACCTTGATTTTTGCTTAGTTGCTATAGCAAGTTGCCATGGTAGCAGCCGCTATTAAAATACTTTCAACTATTTATTTTAAAAGGGGGGAAGAGACATTGAAAGCATACTAAAACAATGGATATTATACAATTTCTTTGCTCTCTTTACGAGAAAAGTGCATTTCAGATGATATTTCCCATTTATTCAATTTTTTTGTGTCAGAAGCAACTTGAGAAACTACAAGTTGCTTCTGGTGTGAGAGAATTGGCCATCTGCAAGGATGTTGCCCTGAGGACACCTGGATGATTGATGTTTTACCATCTTGTGGGAGGCTTCTCTCATGTCCCCACATGAGAAGCTAGAGCTCAACAGTTGGGAGCTCACCCCGCACTCCAGATTCGAACTGCCAACCTCTTGGTTGACTAGTCCTGCTGGCATAGGGATTTAACCCATTGCGCCACTGCAGTCTGCTTAAGTTATTCCATAGGCTCAAGTCATACATTACCTAAGCAATATGAGCCATTTCACTGTGGTCAGCTTTAAGTTTTCCAGTATACTCTGCATGTTTGCCATTCTTGAAGTTGAGGAACTGTGTTGTATTATGGTTAGAGCATTGCATTGGAAGATCAAGATTCAAGTCCCCATTGAGTTTTGATGACCTACCTCACTAGGCACTTGTGAAGCTAAAGTCTGAATTTGGATCTACATTGCCATATAATGCAGTTTCATAATGCAATTTAACCGCATTGAATTGCATTATATGGCAGTGTAGACTCATATAAAACAATTCAATGCATTATATGAGTCTACCGCAAGATAAGGAAAAACCTCCTTTGAAAAAATTCTGCCAAGGAAAGCTTTAGAGAAGTTCACCTTGGGCCATCATAAGTCAGAAATTGTTGGAAATAACAGCCTTCTTCAAGACTTTTCTAATAAAATGTTTATCTAGGATCCTGTTGCTTATTGTTTCCTGTATGTGTGTTCTGGTATGCAGCTTCATTTACTCTATGGTTCCTTGAGAAGTTATAAGAGGGGCTGCGAACCACATCTTCCTTCTCTCTCCTTTTCGTTATGTGACCTGTTGATAGCTTTTTTGTTATAAGAGATGGCACAGATAATTATCTCAAACATATCTGAAACTGGACTGATAAGTTTTGTACCTGTGTATGCTGAACACATGAAGGTTTTGAGCAAACAAAATATGTTATTTTTATCAAAGCCAATTTTATTTGTGTCTCTTGAGTGCATGATGTAAAACAAGTTGTTTTATGGGAAAGTATATATTTTTGGGCATCTGAAAAACACTTCTGAAGCACTTCTGCTTTAATGCACTGGCAAAATCTCTGTTTTCCTAACAGATCAGAGATAACCGGTTATTCAGTGTAACAACTGAAAACATTGCCTTGCATAATTATATCTGGTTGTATACCACAATAGAAGAGTCTACTCTAAAGGGTCTTTGGCTCTTCTCTGAAAGGTCATGCTTTTCTAAAAAGTTACAATCTCCAAAAGGTTTTTTCCAAAAGGTTATAAATGCAATTTTCCAAAACAAATGACTAAGGACCTTATCAGAGGGGCAGGGGTAAAATGGGGGAAATCGTGGGGAAGCGGAGGGAACTGTCAGGCTCTGTTCCCTCCTGTTGGAGTCTGGGGTCTTTCTTCCCATGCCATTTCTCTATCTGTCCCTGTTTCCGCTTTGGCTCCTCTTCCTTACGTCATTGAGGAGTTGGATGTACACCCGACTACTCTGGGTTCCGCTGCTGTAACACTGCTGAAAAGCTTTCACAACGGACCACCACAGAGTCCCACCTGAAGTAGTCTTGCTTCTGATAAGATCCTTAAGGTTGTAACTTTTTAGAAAAGCATGACCTTTCAGAGAAGAGCCAAAGACCCTTTAGAGTAGACTCTATAGGATTCTGTGTGTATACCAATCGATAAGAACAAGTGATGCTGTGCCTGTTATGCCAAATTAGAGTATTAATTGGTGTAGTTTAGCACTTTTGTATGCTCAGGTTGTTTTTCCTAAGTACAAAAGCCTTCCCTTAATTATTCACTGTGATACAGTAATGTCTTGTGCCACCTCAGTTAGAGAAGCCAGATGAAAGTGTCAAGTCCTTTAAGAAAAATTCTCAATACATTCTGATTAAACCAATGGGGTTTCTTTCTCAAATTTGAGCATTCAGATTGCCAAGAGATTGCAATCATAGCAGCCCAACGGAAGTAAATGTGATTTAAAAATTCATTAAACGCCTGTCTCAAATGTTTCTGACTTCCTAGTGTTGAAATGCAATTAAATTTATATTGAGAAAATATATGAAATGCTTGTATTCAGAGCAGCATGTTTAGAAGTACTGCTAATGTTAGAGCTTTTCATCTACCATACCGCTAAAACAATTAAACCATGTGTAAGGTGTTTTCTAGTTTTTTAGGAACTGTATCTGGGACTAGGCTAACTAGACTAATCCAGTCACCCCCAACCTGCTGCCATTTAGATGTGCCAGAATACAGTAATTGCTGGCAGGGGATGATGGATAATCCAATGGATTTAGAGACAATAGCCTTCAGGAAGGAAGAGCTATGCTGTGTTCTAATAAATACATCAGCCTTAGGAAGGAAAGGGTTAAACCTGTGATTGTGTCTTGGCAAAGCAAAAAAAGAACGTGGAGTTTACAAATGTTGTTTTTGAAGCTCAAATGGGAAGTCACCACCCGGTGATAGAAATGCAAAAGGGAAATACTGGGAGAAATCCATGGGGAATTTCCCTGGAGTATTTGTCAAGACCCTAACTGGAATGATACGGCTTTGAGCAACACCATATTCTTCTGAGACCACATCATTCCAGTTAGTTAACAAATAAAAAATATGATGAAATCTGAGGAGCAGAAGAGAGAAGCATGGATATTTGTCCTGCTTTACAGGCAGCAGTCTCATAGTTGAAGAGACGTTTAACCCAAATCCAAAACTTCCTCTGTCCTAAATGGTTGAATGTGGCTATTTCCCAAAAGCAAATACAAAATCCATGAATACAAAAACAAACAATAAGCCATAGGAAGACTCAGGCTCGAACAGTGGTTACACAAATTGCAGAGCACTGATGTGCATTTCTTTCAAACAGTTTTATGGGAGTTTGTTGTCTGGCCATCATAGTTTGAAGCTATTTAGGTTCAAACTTCATTAAATAGTCAGTGTAGATGGGGCCTGAAATTGTATTGGGAGCCATTAAAATTCCACAAAGTGAGCAAGCTTTTGGAGAGACCTCACAATCTCTGAGGATGCCTACCATAGATGCAGGGGAAATGTCAGGAGAGAATGCTTCTAGAACATGGCCATATATCCCAGAAAACCTACAACCCAGCTTTTATGTTCTTCAGAACTTCTCATCATGTGACTGAACATACACAAAAAATAGGGTGGCAGGGAGTCCAAAAATGTCCAGATGTTGTAGCTACAAGGTTTGACATTGAACTCCTTATATTCCTTTTTTTCTTGTCTTCTTCTTGCTAATGATTATATCTGAAATTCTGTCTATAAGTACAATAATGTTGAAATGTGTAAACTATGAAGAATTGTGAGTCCAAAGACCACAAAAAAGGCAAGACCTTGTAGAAATATGCTTTTGGGAGTTACCATATTTTTTTAATGTCTTCCCTTGCACCTGGTGCAAGGGAAGGCATGATCAAAGGTATGCCCCTATCAAAATTACAACTGCTAGTGTGGTGTAATAATATGCTCCTGGACACTGCATCTATTATTCTCTCCTGAATGTAGCTTCACTTAATTTTATAGCTCTTTCATAAATATACTTGTTAAGTTGGAAATGCCAGCAATTTCAGTTGATTTACTTCCATAATAAGAAGCATGATGCTGATACTTTGTTAGTCTTTAATGAAATGTAAACACAACCCTTGCACCATCCTTGTGTGCTTTTTGTTCTGACGCACTGATGTCAATATTGCATGGAGGTCAACAGACAGAAACAAAGCCATTCATTTTACTTACGGCAGCCTTGGTTGAATGGGATTTTCTCAGTGCAGACAAGTTGTCAGGACAAGGAGAATGGAGCACTCCTGTATCTATATAACCATTGCTGCGTGTGTGCAAATATCCACTTGGAATTATGCTGAGTGAACAAATTTTTCAAACAGTTTAGGGTGATTCACCTGAAAGATCAGATGTATTTGCTTGACCTGAAATTTAAGGAATGTAGAAAAGAATTCTAAGCTTGTGTGGCAAGCCGTGAGAGAGAACACTAAGGAATAAGGAAGCTGAGAAAGAACTAAAAGGAATAAGAATAGCTGTGAATTCCAGTTCAACCACTACTCTGATTATTCTTCCTTCGAGTAAGTACCCAGACCCAGTAATTGAAAAGGACTTATTAAAGATTAAATTATTTCATTTTTGGCTTTGGGCAGCAGTCTTTGGGTATTTGCTTTTTCTGCATCTTGATGTGGGTTGGACTAAAATACGTTAGTCTACTTCAGGTGACAAGATGTTTTTGGTCGGTCTTAGAGGTCCACTGCAGAGGTCTAGTGCTTTGTGAATTTCTTTCAGACTAATAGACACAGCACACTTTAATGAATGCTATTTAGACTTTCACTGAATTCCCTTTGTACCTGTTGAGAAGCACATCAGAAGCCTTGTAAAGCCCATCAAGATTTCACTTTATATTTTAAACTATATTTTAAACTATTAGCATGGCTTGATCTTCAGTCATTTATTATCATACATTACACTACAGACCACTATTCTTTAATGTATTTTTAAATGACTGCTGAATTGTTCTAACTGTAGATATTTTGCTCTTGTTTGCATTGTAGACTTCATTTCTCTTTGGTAGCTTCATGTCTAAAGCTATGGACAAAGCAATTAAAAACTGGCTATTCCTTACCCTGCTGCATGTCGCTATTGAAATCAGTGAGGGATGCTACTGTGAACATTACCCATGGGCTCCCTGGTCCAGTTGTTCACAAACCTGTAACTATGGGACTCAAAGCAGATATAGGTAGGTGACTAATCATCTTCCTATATCATTGTTGTTGTTTACTGCTGAATTAACTTTGACTTTATTATTGTTAACTGCCATTATGTTATGGTGACCCTATGAATGAGAGACCTCCAAGTCACCATGTCATCAACAGCAAGGTCATGTGGACAGGGATGATGCTTCCTTTTATTGATTGATTTTACACCCCACTTTTCTTCCAAAATGACATCCTATTGACGAAAAGTGCATTTGGGGGAGGGTGGCAACCTTCCAGTAAAGAGCTCCATAGTCTAGGAGCAACCACTGAGAAGACTGTCTTCCATATCCGTACCAGATGAGTGTGTAGTAGGACTGGGAGAAGACCTTTCTACATACACTGTAAGGCTTAGGCAGGCTCATATGGAGAGGTACAGGCTTTCAGACAGTGCAGAACTAAGTCATGTAGGGCCTTATAGATCACAACCAGCCTTTTTATGGTGCCTAGAAATGGAATTTATAGACATTTAACAAACAGCGGAGGCTGGGAAGTGGTTAGAAAATATCTCCTCTGTGACCTCTAAAATGGCTTATGACTTTCAGTGGTGAAGGGTCTTTCCAACCATCACCGCTGAAGCAAACTTTAAGTAACAATCCCATCAGCTGTTGCACATGGAAATAGGTGTCATCTTGGGTTGTTGTAGGTTTTTTCGGGCTGTTTGGCCATGTTCTGGAAGCATTCTCTCCTGACATTTCACCTGCATCTGTGGCAGGCATCCTCAGAGGTTGTGAGGTCTGCTGGAAACTAGGAAAATTGGGTTTATATATCTGTGGAAGGTCCAGTGTGGGAGAAAGAATACCTCTCAACAAAAGATTCCCCCAGGCACTAACAAGCCACACCAAACAACTGACAGGCCATCAAATGTGAATCAAGGTGGCCAGTTGAAGCATTCACATGTAGCTCTAACAGACAAGAGTTCTTTGTCCCACCCTGGAGATTCCACAGATATATAAACCCAATTTTCCAAATTGGAAATTATTTTATTCTGTTTGTTGTGAATTCTCGGCCTTAAACAGGGATTTTTGTATATTCTAGGCAAATACGAGTAGATGAGTACTACAGGAAAAACTTCTGTGAACAACTTTGCACCACTCAAGAAACCAGGGCCTGCAACCAACATAAGTGTCCAATCAACTGCCAAATTGGAGACTTTGGTCCCTGGTCAGAATGTGACCCTTGCATTAAGAAACAAGTAAGTGCAAAGGAGTGGATTAGGATGTATATACATAAAACAGCAGGATGAAATAGAGAGAAACCTTTGTATATTCTATGAACTGGTGAGCAGGGCCTGGAAACTTCCTTTAAGGACTGTAATTGCCAGGATTCCAATCTTGATGTACTAGTAGCCATATATACACATGACATCAATTCATACACTGAAGGGGAATGAGTGAAGGAACAATCTCATATGATTTATTCTCTTTCTACCTATCAGTTTCGCACCAGATCCTTGCTCCAACCCTCTCAGTTTGGAGGGCGACCTTGCAGTGAGCAGCTGGTAGAGTCCCGAAGGTGTTTTCCCACCAAACTTTGCAACATAGAGGAAGTCAACTGTGGGAATAAGTTCCAGTGTGATAATGGTAACTTTTGACTCATTTTGGTTTAGAGGCATGTGAAAAGCTACATGGCATCCATTTAAGGGAAAGATGGGACATAAAGTAGAGAGAGACAGAGACGGAGATAGCCAGACAGACAGAAAGACAAACTGATAGACACTCAGCAATGGTGCCATGAACCCATATCCGTATAATGAGCTTAGTACTCAAGGTCAAGCCAGTGAAAATATCAAGAGGCCCTGTGTTGGAGGTAGCCCTGACCACGAACCCTCTTGGACTGGAACGCCTAGAGGCTGGGCGGAGGAATTTTCCATATTTGAGGGGGTGGGGTTTTGGTATTGAAACTGAGAAGTTTTCCCCATTTTCTTTTATTTGTAACTTTGCTGTATAGCATTAAATAAATTTCCAGTATAGCCTTGTGAGTTGAATTTAATTGCTACCAAGGTACTGCAATCATCAAAAAGGTCTGAGATAGCATTTCGGTTGGCAATTACACTAAATGGTCAATTGAAGGAGCAAATGATTGATGATTGAACATAATACTTCATATTCAATACTGCCTACTATATAGCTTGAACTGCATACTTTCCATTGGGAATGTTATTTATTCAAGCGGAGACTGATGTTCTGTCTGACCACAGTTTATTCAAATAGAACAAAGTTATTTTCAGTCTCATTTGTCCTTCTCTTACTCCTAAGAATTGCCCGTATAGAATTTGACCAAACTTGGAATTACAGTTCGATGATTTCCAACTTTGATTTCCATAGATACCTCCTCTGCCATTTCCTGAAGATCCTTAAGACCTCAGGGCCTTGTGTGACCAGGGCACACAACCCCATCATTCTCTTGTAATAGACTTTGATACTCCCAGCAAAAGTATGAAACATTAACTTCACATTTACATCAGCAAATTTACCTTTCTGCAGTTCCAGTTCTTCTTACTCAGCTGTCTCTTGGTTTTTCTTATCCATTGACCTCTACCAGTGTTGACCCGAGAGTCATACTTAAGGGTCTAGAGCAGGCATAGGCAAACTAAGCGCCCTGGACACTTACCTCAGGCCCTCACATTTTCCCTGTCCTCTTAGCATTAGCACACGGTAGCCCATCACATCCTTATGCAGAAAAAAATGGGGGAGAAGACACGCTGCAGCTGAAAGCCCTCTGGAGAACTTTATGCCAGGAGGACAGCTTGAGGAAGACATGCAGTGGTTGAGAGCCTTCCAGAGTGCTCTCGGATGTCACCTGTTTCTCCCTCCTCCTGGCATAATGCTGGGAGGACAGCCTGAAGATTGAGGGAGATTGGGGAGAAGGACTGGGGTAATCATCACGTGTCTTGTTTTGGCCCCGGCATAAGGATGGGGTGAGCAGCTTGTCCTTATGCCAGTAGGACAGCCTAAAGATGACCCAGACCCTGCCTTGCCTCCCTCTTGGCCCCGCCCTTTCCCAGGCCCTTTCCCTCCCGGGCCCATTCAACCCAGTGTGTGCCCGGCTACCCTCCCTCCTGGCCCAGCCCTCCCAGCCAGACCCACAATGCATCCTCAAGGCAAAAAGGTTTGGCCATGCCTGATCTAGAGATTCCTAGATAGTATCCTCCAGTGCAATTCTGTGGTCCACTTCCAGTAAAAGTTGGTGGATAAGAAAAAAGACAGTGACAGTTGAGGAAGAATAATAATGTTGGAGGACCTAGAGATTCCTAGGTTTTAAAAACCATTCATATTTATTCATGGTTTTTCCACTTTCAGGGAGGTCCTGTGTGTCTAATCCCAGTAAATGTGGAAGGCTGACCATATTCACTTCTAATGGTGTAGGGAGATATAAAACATAAACATTCTTCTATTTCCATGAAATTAAATGCAATGCTTTTTGAAAGACTGCACACCTGCTGGGTTAGGTGGGTGGCTTGGTTGTTTCTTCTAACATGACTTTCAACTCTGAAAGTTATGGTTTAAAAAATATTCCCATGAAGGTGATGCTTTTTCCTTTCCCACAGGCCGCTGCATCAGACAAAATTTGGAGTGCAATGGAGAAAATGACTGTGAGGATAATTCAGATGAAAGAAACTGTCGTCGTGTACGGCCAGTGTGCAACAGAAGACATGAAAGCCTTCCTAGTGTTGCATTAATGAGCCATGGGTAAGAGATTCTTGGATGCCTTGGATGTCTACAATCATTGGTTCCTCTAAAGGGAGTTTCCCTACCCTTCCCAAAAGCTACACCGCTGCAAGGGTGGAAAAGCCACAAATTAAAAAAAAACACTCTTTTTTAACCTGAAAGAATCTCTAGGTCCTCCAGAATGGCTTTATGGTTAACATTCACCAGGAGTTGACCATAGAATTTCTCTGGAGGAAGTGTTTTCAAGGAATCTTTCCATCATTCATGGGGATTGTATGATTATCCTCTGTTATAGAGTCATGCTGGAGGACTAAAGATTGCAAGAGATAACGTATTAATCCAATTTGTAAATAATCAAATCCATAAATGAGGTGGATTAAATATAGTGCCTTGCATCTTTAACCTGTGACCATATTGGTAGACTTTGTGAGCTCCACCAAAATCTGGAGATCCAATTTTAGACACCACTGGTCAAGCAAAAGAGAGGAGTATCAGCCTTCTCCCCTTGGTTTTCCATAGAGATTGGAGATAGGCAGGAAATGGAAAAACCTTTACAATCTTGCTATAATCCTTTTAACATAATCAGAAGTCTTAACTCAGAACTGTAGTCTCATTTTTAAAATCTTATTGGATTGAGCATCTTGGCCATTCTTAACCATGCTTAACTGCTGAACCAATCATCTGCTTAACTGAAAGTGGAAGGAGCTATGGAAATATAGACACCATCCTTAAGAGGAAACATGTCATGGCTATAGAGCCATGACATGTTTCCCACCCTTAATGTGAGAGGGTGGGAAAGGACAGAGAGAGAAGCAGAAAGGATCTGTAGAGCAGACATCAACAGTGGAAAAACTGAAAACATGTATTAAAAGGAACAGGGTTTTTTAAAATGTTGACTTGCTAGTTAACATTTCAACCTGAAAAACAGGTCTCGTTGACATCCCTGGGTGCTTATGCCAAGTAAATATCCTCATATGTGTTTTCTTTATTTATTCCTGAGTGAATTCATTTGGCAGTTTCAGGAGGTGTGGGTAAAAAGCTTGTCAGACTACAGAACTGGGTTTTGGTATTGTTTTGTGGCAGGTTGGACTGAAATGTGGTTGTTTTTTTTCTTTTAGTTTTCATCTTCTGGCAGGAGAGAGCCGAGGAGAAATTCTCAGTAGCTTATTCTATGGAGGTAAATGCACCCTTGTCAAGAGTAACGATACACGAAAAGTATTCCGGGTTCCTGCAAACGTGGAGGCTGTCAGCTTTCAGGTAGGGCTACAAGATATTAAGCACCATATCTTGGAGTCAAATGTTTCAGTTTCTTGGTAGTCTTTGAATTCTTGAACACTTTGAAATGTAGATGAATATTACATGATATCATGCTGGATGCTGCCTTGTCCGGTAAGAATAAATATTGCTGAGAAAACTCTATGATAGGTTTGTTTTAGGGCTTGTCTACACTAGTGGAGGGAAAACTCCACTCACGCTGAATCCAGTGCTGGTGGTCTTCATGACATGCAGCAGAATGGTCAGAATGGGGTATTTATTTATTATTTATTTACAGTTTTTCTTATATTCCGCCCTTCTCACCCCGCAGGGGACTCAGGGCGGATTACAGTCAACACATATATGGCAAACATTCAATGCCAGTTTGACAAACAACGTTTAACAGACAAATACACCGAGGCTATTTAACTTTTTTCTGGCCGCCAGGGGAGCTGCTGCTTTCATCGTCCACCAGCGACACCGATGAAGTTCTTCCGCATTCCACATTCCCCGGAGTCTTTTCTTTATGGCCTCATAAATTAGTTAATTTAGCCTCCCACACAAGGTGGTACCTTATTTTCCTACTTGACAGATGCAACTGTCTTTCGGGTTGCAAAGGTCGACAAGGGCTACACAATGGCTGGACACCCACTCCAGCCCGGGCTGGCTCGAACTCATGACCTTTTGGTCAGAGTGATCTTAATGCAGCTGACACTCAGCCAGCTGTGCCACAATCCCGGTGCTTCCACAATCCCGGTCCTTCAATTTTTTTGCCCTTAACCCCACTTTGCTCTGTTATACGCAAAGTCAAGGGATTCTCTGGAGTTTGAAGGAAACCTCCAAATCTCCATCAGTTTTGAGGCCACCTGGACAGCTGGATTTGGTCTGTTTGTTCTGACACTCCACCACCATCACCTTTTATCTGCACTGAACAGCGCAGGGAGGGGGATGTGTCACACCTGTGTCACCACCACAGTTTCTCATTGATCATGAAGCTCCCTATAAGTGGCTGACTATTGCCTGTCATATCTGCTAAGGTCAGAATGGGGTATTCATCAGCACGAAGGAAGGGATTGGTCTACACCCTCCTTGTGGATAATACGGGTTCTTTGTTATGACATCAAAAGATGAAACAGTTGATAGCCACACACACTCACAGGGAACTCCATGGCTGGAAAGGAATGATAATGGTGATCAGCAAGGGGACTGGTTGGGACATCTGGGCCTACGGCCATGGTTTTAGCTGGTCCCTATTAGATCCAAGGTAGCTGCTGAGCATAAATGGCCTGAATTAACATACCTTAGGTAGATGCGGCCTCGGGTTCAACAGGAAATAACTGAAAGGTACAGAACAACAGTAATCTCCAGATGTTATTTCTTCACAGGTGGAGAATGAAGAGGATGAGGTGGCATCTGATTTTTACAGTGATTTAATCCCCCTAGATTCTGCTTCCTCTAGACAAAGTTCTTATTCTGGCTCAGGCAAACGTTCTTCTGGAATCCCACTGCTCTTCTCCAAAAAGACAAAAGTCAGGGTCACTTCTTCAACTTCCTTCAAAGAGGCTGTGAAGGCTTCATATAAAAAGGTATTCACATTTCCGCACTGTCTCTTAGATTCTATTCATTGAATCCAACTTCAGGTTCGAAGAATGACAGATCTGTTATACTTCATTATCCAGACCACACACACACACAAAGCCTTTGTGCTGCATCACTTGCATTTTGAGAAAGCTGGAAATGCTGTCATAGGCATGAGACGTCTGTCAGACCATATTGCTTGAAAATTTAATATAAGGCTATTCTGTTCTTTTCAGGCCAGGTGGGAGGCAGATGAATTGTTTATCTTGTAAGGATCTTGATATTTGTTTTGAAAGACTCCTGGTAGCAACCTAAGATTTTTCAAAAGCAATGAAGCCACTGGACTGCCAACCAAGTAAATCCAACTCCTTTACTAATTGTTGATAAAGTCACTAGCAAATCAGTGGACAATCATCACAATCAAAATGAATAATTGTACAAAATTCTACAATTGTATAATTCTAGAGTTTATATATTCTGAAAATTCTTCTTGATGGAGACTATTCTTATCAGCAATAAATCAATGGCTGTGTTGTGATGACAATGTTGCTGTTATGAATTATGTCCAGAGCTGCTTTTGAAAACAGCCTAGATGCTTCAAATGATCCAGCATGAAACAACCAGATATTTATTTGACATTTTGTAGATCACATATATTTAGTGCCTGGGACTAGCTGTTTGTTTTTAGAGTTGGTACAAAATGCTATTTCTAGTATTTAAAGACCGTGATAGTTTGGATCTGGCCCAGCCAACTTGGCCAACAACCAGAATTTCTGGGAACAGAAATGCAAATATATAGAGGACCATATATGGGGCACTCTGAACCTCCTGATTGTCAACAGCATAACAGGACATAATCACATTGAGGTCCCAAATGCAGGTGATGATGGGGGTATTTGCGGGCAGTGTGGCAAATCCCTGAGGTAGTGGGGGAAACCGTTGCCCCACGCCTCACATCACTACTACATGTAATATAATTATATATTTATATTACATGTAATATTACTTTGTTGTTTTTCATTCGTTCAGTCATTTCCGACTCTTTGTGACCTCATGGACCAGCCCATGCCAGAGCTCCCTGTCAGCCGTCACCTCCCCCAGCTCCTTCAGAGTCAAGCCAGTCACTTCAAGAATGCCATCCATCCATCTTGCCCTTGGTCGGCCCCTCTTCCTTTTTCCTTCCATTTTCCCCAGCATCATTGTCTTCTCTAAGCTTTCCTTCTCATGATGTGGGCAAAGTACTTCATCTTTGTCTCTAATATACTTCCCTCCAATGAGCAGTCGGGCTTTATTTCCTGAAGTATGGACTGGTTGGATCTTCTCATGGTCCAAGGCACTCCCAGAACTTTCTTCCAGCACCACAGTTCAAACGCATCTATCTTCCTTTGCTTAGCCTTCCCTATTGTCCAGCTCTCACATCCGTAGGTGACTATGGGGAATACCATTGCTTTAACTAGGCAGTTCTTTGTTGCCAGTGTTATGTCTCTACTCTTCACTATTTTATCGAGATTGGACATTGCTCTCCTCCCAAGAAGTAAGCATCTCCTGATTTCCTGGCTGCAGTCTGCATCTGCAGTAAGCTTTGCACCTAGAAATACAAAGTCTGTCACTGCCTCCACGTTTTCTCCCTCTATTACAAATTACAATATAATGGTATAGTACAATATAGTAATATTTAATACTGATATTGTAGTATGCTAATAATATAATATATTGTATGTATATATAACTTGCAAGCCACTCTGAGTACCCTTTGGGGTGAGAAGGGTGGCATATAAATGTCATAAATACATACATACATACATACATACATACATACATACATACATACTGTCTTGGACTAACTCTGCCATGGCTGGAAGATTCTTTCTCCATGCTAATCTTTGAAGGTAATGAAGATAAAATGAGTGGAAGGAAACAATGTGCTCTGCTCTACATGGCTTTTGAAAACATGGAATGAAAATGCAAGTATATCCACATGTGTAAACAAAAAGCCTTTTCATTCTACACAGTCATAGCCTATGATTCGGTTCTAGCTGACATGGTTCCATCTTATGCAATCTTGGGATTTGCAGTTTAAGAAGGAATATTTACAATTCTCAGCCAAAGAGCTCCAATGCCTTCACTAAATCACAAGTCCCATCATTTCATTGGAAGTTGGCACCAAAATTAAAGTATAATCATAGTATTACCACTGTGTAGCATGGAATAATCCCAGATGTAAGTGTTCTACTATGAGAAAGTTTTCATCATATTGTATTTTACTTTTTTTCCCTTTAGAACTCCAACTTTATTAGGGTCCATAAGGTGGTTGCAGTATCAAACTTCACAATGAAGCAGACAGATTTGCAGCTGTCTGGTGTCTTCTTGAAGGCCCTCAACAGCCTTCCTCTAGAGTACAACTATGCTCTCTACAGCCAGATATTTGATGACTTTGGGACTCATTACTATGCATCTGGTTCTATGGGCGGCACATACGACCTCCTCTATCAATACAGTGCTGAAGAACTGAAAAACTCAGGTATATAGTCAATAGTGAGGGAATGTAGTTAATTTCATTTTCATTATTAACAGATAGCATACTAATGATCCTGTTGAGAAAAGGAAATAGTGCCTGAAACGTTGGTCTCTCTTTTCCCCTAAAACCTTTATTAAGTTAGCTAATAAGATATAATGTGTCTAAGTGTTAGGAAAACAGAGAAATGGAAGCTTAGATTTCTTGTGGGAAACCCAATTATTTGTTTCTTCCTTGGAAACTCACCAGGGACTGGCAGTTGAAGGCTTCTGGGTCAACAGGGCTAGAAAAGTAGCAATGTTACAGACTATTATGAAAATGACTTGCTCTTCTTTCGCTTAGGTTTGACAGAGGAAGAAATGAATGAATGCATCCGAACAGAAACAACTAGACGTGTCTTTTTTCGAAAGAGAAAGAAAGTGAATACAAAATGCACCAACAATAAAATGACTGTTCGACATGAAGGTGATTACAATGGCTTTCAGTATTGTGGGGATTTGAATGGCTTTACTATATTGTTTGATTTAATTTGTTTAGATAATGCTTGTTAGCTATTTTGTGCAGAACTTTATTTTAGCTGAAAGGGGGAATAAAACTGAAATAAGTATAATAATGCTGTCATTTTCAATATTCAAGGGGTTTGCCAATAATTATCTCATGATTCCTAGAGAAGTGTTCACCCAGGTTTTTTAAAAAGTGGCTTTTATTCACAGTTTTTCTACTTTCAAAGGGAAATTCCAATGCATGTAAGGGTCAACTGTATATCCAACACAATATTGGGCCAGGCTTTAGCACAGCTGGTAAATCACCAACAATAATAAGATCTACCGAAAGGTTTCCAGTTTGAAGCCCCGGGTTGGCATGAGCCACCTGACTGTCACCCCAGCTCGCTGTTTACCTAAGAAGTTAAAAAACAGCTTGAGCTGTAAGTATAGACATTTCGTACCACTAAAACAAGTGGGGGAGGTATTTTACTACACCATAAAGAAAAAGATCAGAAAAATGCCCAGTGACCAAAAGGAAGGAGGAAGTTGTTTGGCTCTAAGTCATAAAGGATGGAGCAACAGCACCCCCCTGTGGCTGAATTCGAGCACAACCTCCAAGGTGCCAAAAAACTGGGCGTCGACACAAAATACTTCCTTTCTGTTCTGTCTGTCTCTGTCCTGTCTGTCCCAAATGACATTGAATGTTTGTTGTGGAATATAAATAAAGTGTTATTATTATATTATAACATTGATAGGTGCCAAAATTAAAATGAATCCTTTCTCTCCCACAACGGTCCTGAGAAAAATTCCTCCCCTAAAGCTGCAATTTGCGTTCTACTTTAGTACACTTGACAAAGTGGATTGAAATCCATAAAATCACATGCTGAAATAAATCAGTTTTAGAGATTATGCTAGATTTCTCTTTCCTCTACTTTTTTTCTTTTTAACATTCATGGCTAAGTTAAGTCCTGCTGATGTTGGTGGCTTTCTCTAATTGCAAATAAGTCCAGATTGTAACTCACTTACATAGATCTCCGTCTTATGTCTACGTGGTCCTTCTCTACCAAATCACAGAGAATAGAAAAGAAGTTTCAAAAGTGTTGGAATCTCACTATATTATTGATGTCTAGATCGCAGAATATATTTTAAAATCAATGCTCATTCTTTCATGATTAATGAAAATGAAAAGATAAGAAAGCCAAGATTCTTGAAACGATAAAGTGCACCTAATATCAGATTCTGCATATGAACAGTGCTCTTCTCAAATGGTAGAATACTGTACACTCAACCCAGAGAACAACTCTTTCTCAGTGGGCAAACTTTTGATTTCTCAAAGTAATATTTCAAAAAGAAACATAGGACACCAGTCAAAAGTAGGAGTAGTATATGAGCTTTGACTATTCTGGAATATTGGAGATAAAGCCCACTCAGTTTAGCAAAATGATAAGAATGACAACAAAGCACATCTATTTGCTATTTTTCAGGCATCCCTCTGTCCATCATATTCTGTCTTGGTTATGAATGGATGCTGTAAATACATTTATGTATGTAGCGGCCAAATTATTAAAATATAACTTCTAAATTTCTCCTAGGTTCATTTTTGCAGTCATCTGAAAAATCTATATCATTAGTAAGAGGTGGGAGGTCACAATATGCTGCAGCTCTTGCCTGGGAGAAGAATGGAGCTTTGCCCGAACACATTGCATATACGAATTGGCTGGAATCAACCAAAGAGAATCCAGTCATAATTGACTTTGAGGTAGGAAAGCAGAAAGGAGAAAGAATGGAAAATTGTGTTGGTTCTTTCCATGAAGACATTGCTTTCCTGTTTGTCCAGACATAGGTCCTAATCCTGTTTTCAATTAGAAGGGTATCTGCTAGCCTTCTTATGAATGAAATTCAAATTGTTCCTTCGTGTCTGGAAACCTAGAGTGCAGCTTCACTGTGGAATTAATGCAGTTTTTCACCTCTTCATAACTTTATAAGATCTTTTGCCTTCTCAGTCAGAGAGTGCTGTTGCCTCAACAAACTACAAGTCCGAAGTCTGTGCCTTGTGCGGTGTTGAGTTGTTGGGGGAAGTGGGTATGTATAGCCCACAAAAAGGAAGATCAGTGGCCCAGGGGTGTCTAAATATCTGATAGTTTGCATACAAGGAAAATTGAGCCAACTTTTGGGATAAAAATCAATGGATTCAAATTAAAAGAAAAAGGGATATTAGATAATTATTGGAATGTATTAGAAATAAACAAACACCACAGAGTGTTCTCAAACAGTAAGAGCTATTTTTCTGTGGAGCAGCCCACTTCATAAAATGGTGGACTCTCCTTCATTGCAAGGCTTTAAACAGATGTTGAACAGTCATATATCAGAGTGTTTAAGTATTCTGGGAGGAACCCCCAGTGGTGCAATGGATTAAACCCTTGTGCCCACAGGACTGAAGATCAACAGGTTGGAAGTTTGAATCCAGTGAAAGTGCTGTTGAGCTCCCTTTGTCAGCTCCAACTCCCCATGTGGGGACATGAGAGAAGCCTCCCATGAGGATGGTAAAACATCAAAACATCAGGGCGCCCCCTGGGCAACATCCTTGCAGACGGCCAATTCTCTCACACCAGTTTTTCAAGTCACTCCTGACACACACACAAAAACATTCCTGGATTTTAGCATGCCAGAAGATTAGTCTAATGTTTTGGAGTTCAGTTCCAGAAGCCCTGCTCATCTTGACTAACAGAAATTATGGATGCTAAAGTCTAAAACATCTGGAAGATCAAAGTTTGAGAATCACTGCTTTAGGAGGCTGAGGATGTAGTTCTATTCCTTGATCTTCAGATGACGCAGCTTCTGTCATATCTTGAAATGTTTAATGTAGAATAATGTTGAAAATGCACTCTTTGGTAGTTTGGTTTACACATGGAAAAATTGTGTTTGGTATTACTGTATGAAATCCATATATACATAAAGTGACCACCAAATGAATTTTATTAAAATGAGAAAGGAGGGGAGAGAGAGAGAGAATGAAAGCAAACAACAGGAGGAAAATGTATTCTGCTGTCAGTCAAGTATATTGCCTTTCTTGGCTTCCATCTGTTTGTACTGTGAAGAAAATGCAAAATTGCTTTTATAAATTTAAATTTTGTTGTGTTTTTCTGTTTTCTTTTTTAAAAATAATACAAGCTGCTACATTTTAAAATAGGTAAATAAAAAAGCATATTTTATCAAACAAATCATTCCTGTTCATGATTTAAGTGAAGCTTCTGATGTAACTGAAATAGCACCATCAGTCCTTGAGATGGATGTGTCAGCTTTATAGAAAGGAGCTTTAAAATGAAGAGAAAAACAGATGCTATACAATTGTGTTGTCTGCATGGAATAGTTATGGTTGCAGTCCTAATTGCCTCCTATCTTCTGGCTTTCTAGCTGGGTTTCATTTTGGATTTGGTGAAGAACTTTCCATGTGCAGTAACCAAGCGGCGTAATCTCAGAAGAGCTCTTATTGAATACATGGAACGATTTGATCCTTGCCAATGCAAGCCCTGCCCCAACAATGGCAGGCCGGTGCTGTCTGGAACTGAATGCCTCTGTGTGTGCCAGGCTGGGACTTACGGAGATAACTGTGAGCTAAGAGCACCGGACTACAACTCTGGTATACTTTATGTTCTTTTGTTTCTACTTATTTAATTTATACCTCATCTATTATTGGTATCATCATCACTATCATTAATTCATTTACATTCTGCCTTTTCTCCAATATTGGGACCCACAGAGCCTTTAAAAAGTTAAACAAGTATGATTAGGAACAGTTACGAAAAGAGGTACAATGCAACTATTAAAATAAAATATATAGAGAGAATTACCGTCCATTCACATTAAAAGACAATAAGTAAAACTCAACAGAACAAATACACCTAAAACTATACATCTATGGTCAATTCCTCCAAAATAATTTTTTTCACTTATTAATGGAATGGAAACAAGAAGGAAGCTAGAGTTTATTTATACTGGCAAAAATACTCACTGTGAATGGATTGTTGACTTTTGACTTCATCACACTAGAGAAAACATCCACTTAAAATTCAGTTTCTGCCTCCTGCACAATTCTGGTCTCAACAGCACAGTGGTTGCTGGTGGGTATCAAAATGTTTTTTTGTTTTTAAGGGGTTTTTTGTGGTTTGAGAGTTTGTTTGTGTTGTTGTTGTTGCTTTAAACCAGCTTTGCTTCATTTTGGCCAAAGTTGGCAAATACTCTAAAGCAGGGGTGTCAAACTCATTTTCACCAAGGGCTCATCAGCCTATGGTTGCCTTCAAAGAGCCATTTGCAATTGTAAGGCTTGTGGGGATTTGTAAAAAGGCACCATGATGTAATGGGTTGACTGGAAAGGCACGTGTTGGTAGCTGATTGGCTGAGAATGCCAGGAGCCAGAATTCTGATTGGCTATTGTCTCTAGCTTGCTGCTGAGAGAAACGGTTTTAACTGCCATTTTCATCTCAGAGAGTGAAGAGAGTGCTGACTGAAAACAGCCAGGAAGGAAATGGCTCTCAACTCTCTGAAGCCTAATCATTTCTAAGGCATGAAGTGTATTTTGAAGACTGTTTAAAAGAACTGTTTATTCCCTCTGTTCTATGTGTGAATTCAGAGAGACTGCTGTATATATAGTTGCCCTGTTTGATCTTTTGAATGGAAGTAAAGATACTGTTACTTGCTACACAAGCCCGAGTAACACATTATTATACTGAAGGGTATATTTTGGTTCAGAAACTGTGGTAAAGCTTCTGTTTATTTACATTTACAACATCCCACAAGGCTGTTTAAATGTAACTATGGGCCTTATTACACTAGAGTACCTACTCTTTTTAATCCCATGGCTGCTTCCTGCAGAATTTTGCAGTTTGTACTTTAGTTTGTACATCAGTGAGGCCCAGGATCTTTTGGCTGAACAGTTTCCCTAAACTACAGCCACATGATTAAAAGTGGATAGATGTTTTGGTGGGATGAGGTCCTATGTTACCTTGGCAAAGAAAGCCTAGCGGGCCATACAAAATGACATGATGGGTCAAGGATTTGGCCTGTGGCTCTTTCGTTTGACATGTGTGCTCTAAAGTGTTCCATAACTTGGGTCTAATTCAACCCAATTCCCTGTCCAGAATGAACACCGGTACCATCACCATTTCCCTGCATTTATGAGTGCAAGAAAAAGGGAGATATTGTTATTACTGCCACTAGCTAGCCACAGAGCACCATCCAAGTTCCTGGCCCTCATGATCAGCCTGCTTCTTGTTGGTCATGTGAGCACTCAATTTTAGCATCAGCAGAGTCACCAATGACACCCAGGAGCTTGGAGAGAAGTCTGTAGCTGGCTAGGATTGGCAGTGACAAGGAAGAAGTGGATGCCCTTCCAGGCCATTTAGACAATGGCTTCAGATTTTGCTTGGGACATGAGCTCTACTCTCCTTAGAGAGGGAGATGCAAGTTCAGAAGGAGCCACATAAACACACACAAATCTCCTATGTCCCCAACAAAAGTGCTGATCATGGGTGGCAAGACCAAGACAAAGCTCTCACCCAAAGATTTTGAAACTTTGGAAATCTCATATAAGCCTTTCAAATAATCTGAATCCAAACTGAATAGAGTTTATAGTTCTGATCCCTTAGAGGTCACTTTCTCACTCTAAAGAAATGTTTGTGATTTATCCACCTATTGAGAACTACCACTTAGTCCATAAGTTTACAGAAACAGATATCACATCTGTATCAGGAACCAAGAAGAACTGTTAAGCCGGTTGGAAGGCTGCAGTTTGTTGGCAATTGTGGAGAGTAATTTTTATCACCTTCAGGGTTTCATTTCTTCATTTTTCAGTTGCTGTTGATGGGTACTGGAGCTGTTGGTCTGCATGGAGCTCCTGTGATGCTTCTCATAAGAAACGTAGGGCCCGCGTTTGTAACAACCCTGCACCCCTAAATGGAGGCAAGCCATGTGAAGGTGAACAGGAGCAAGAGGAAGAGTGCTATTTTTCCATATTTGCTGACACGTAAGAGTCAAATAAAAGGACTGATTGAGATAAGCGCTATAGCTTTGCTGTAAGATGCATACACTAGTCTGTCTACACTACACAATGACGGCAGTATGATCCTGTTGTAACCACCATAGCTACATTCTAGGAAATGCTGGGACTTTTAGTTTGGTAAGGTACTAGAATTTGGCTAAGAATTTTAAGTATCCCTTCCTAGGTCCTATCTACACAGCACCTAAAACATGGGATTTCCCAAGTTAAAAGCGGGGGGGGGGGGGGGGGGGGGGGGGGATGGCTACATAATGCTAACAGTAATTTCATGCTGATTCAATGTGACAGACAAAAATTACAGGGTAAAAACATTCCCTTTCATCCTGATTCTGTCTGGAAAATGGGCGTATTTGCGTCAGCGTATATTCCTGCACTTGCAAAAAACACGTGATTTCCTTCCCTCCCCCCGTGAAGACTGATCCAGCCCATGTCCATTTTTAAAAAGTCCAAAACAGCTGATCAGCTGATTGGGCTGTGAAACTGAAATAGGACTGATTTAAAGGAAGCATGAATGGAGAGCAATTAGAACTCCCTGAAAGTCTTTATTTTAAACTTTATAATATCAAACAAAGCTTGAATAAACAATTGAGGGAAGAGAGAAATCTGGTGGAAGGTTTTTTTTATTTCCCTCTGTTATGTGATAAACCTCATGTGCGCAATTGTGAATCTGTTTGTATTTATATTAAGATCTTTGAATATGTGTATATATGGTCCAGAGCATAACAGAGTTATTATTTAAATAAAAAAACTTCCACCAGATTCTCTAAACTGGCCCAAGGAGCAGACTGTACCAAATCAGCACAGTTGGAGAGTACAGAATCATTTACAACAGGGGTGGCAACTATCGGATGTTAGGGAGTTACAGGATCCTAACTCCTGACAGTTTGCCCCAACCCATGACATTTGCCACCCTTGTTTTAGATGGCACTATGTCAGTGATGGTGAACCTTTTAGATACTAACTGTCCATACTGGGGGGGAGGGGCACATGGGGGTTTAGTGGGGGTGATAGCAAGCAGAGTGAGTGAGCAGGAGGGAGGACAAGTAGGCGAGCAGGGTGTGGACAAGCAAGGCACAATTAGAGGGCAACAAAGCGAGCAGGATGAGTGAGGGTGGGTGGGCAAGCAAGGAGTAGGATGGTAGATGAGGGTGCGTGTACCAGCAAGAGAGTACTGCAAGTTCCTTTTTGTACATGTGCCATAGGTTCACCACCACTGCATTGTGCTCTTCAACTACCCTGACATTCTGCCTTTTCATCTACTTATCAAGTGCCCCAGTTTCTCTCATTTGCCCTTTTTTCATTCTTTTCTTTTAGTGGGGCCTTGTGTATAAATGATGATGAAGTGAGGAAAGAGAGTGACATTTTAGTCATCCAGCCTGAATCAGGATGTGCTAAACCAGATCCTCCAGAATTTGGATTCATCAGGGTAAGTGTTGGAGGTTCTTGTCATTGGATGTTGGAAAGACTATTCCCTCTTCAAGTCTGGGATCATAGAATCATAGAGCTGGAAGGGACATCATTGACTATTGGTTCAACAATGGTCTATAAAAAACAATGGATGATCCCCAGCTGGTTATGACTAATGTGAGTTGGAGTCAAACTACATTGGAAGGCTCCACCATAGTTACCTCTGCTTTAGATCCTGACAAATACTTGGGTCTTACACAAATGTAAGTCACATTTCTGAATGCAATCTTTGACAATTTGTGCATGTTTTGTCCAGGAGTGAATCCTTTCCCGTTATTAATTTCAGAATGAAAAGAATCATTATGCTGTTGGTGAAGATGCTGAGGTTGTGTGCTTGAGTGGATACAATCTAGTGGGCTATCCATTCTTCCGCTGTCTGCCAGATCAAACATGGGTACAGAGGCCTGTTGAATGTCAATGTAAGACCAAGAAAAGTATTTTCAATTAAACTGATAACTTTGGGAAATTAAAAATTAATAAGGGGAGATATATATGATGCACAATATATCAGGAGGCTGCAGTTTCACACACTGGATACCTTCTCATCAGGCTGTCCACAGGCGCTATGTTCAACCATAGTAGAAATGGGGTATACTGGCAGTTCCCAAACTTTTTTGGTCATTGAACTCTTCAGAAGGCTTGTTTTTCTATGGAAACCTAACTCTATCAATAATGTTTACTAAGTATTGTAAACCCACAAAGTAGTCCTTCTTTCATCTGCTTGTGTTGCCTCAGTGTTTTGTATAATGTAGTAGGTTTGGAAATAAAGGGAACACATTTTAAATGTAATCACAAACCTTTATTTTAGTACAAGAAAATATTGAATTCAGCCCTAATGTGATGAATCCAATTAATTTTTGTACCTAAAATAGTTTTCAAATTGGGCTTTATGTCTGACAGCTGGCTATGTAAATCCACGGTGGCATCCAACCTGCTCTTAAATTTGTTTTTAGGGTAAGAATAAGATGAAAAGCCTGATTTACATCAATAGGGGACACAAAAGGGAGCAAAGCTTGAATAGTTTTCCCAGATATTGACAGATATATATCTAGCACTCCTACCCTAAATTCATCCAGTGGGACAAATTCACATTTTGTTTTTAATGCCTGCCTGTGGAGGCTTCCCGTGTTGCCATTGGAATCCATGGGAGGAAGCCGCATAGACGGCACTTCCCCCATGGGATCACCCTCAGCTGGTGTCAGGTGATGCGGGGCATGGAGCACCATGTTCCCCACACACCCTGACAAAGTGGAGAAACTCCAGCAGCCATGTGAAAAAGTCATTAGCTAATCATCTCCCTCACGGGGAATAAGTCTTTGGGGTTAGATTTATATATGCACAAGTCCCATTTTAACTAAACTTGAAGGTGGAGCCTTTGGGAGAGACCCACTCAAGAGCAAGTTTGGGACTAGTTACATCAATTATGAGTGAACCACTGCCGTCTTGTGGTCCAAGCAGAAGAGAGGGGAGTTCTTCCTAGCACTGAGATGAGCCTTCTCTAGTCCAGAGCCCCCAGTGGTGCAATGGGTTAAACCCTTGTGCCAGCAGGACTGAAGACTGACAGGTCAGAGGTTTGAATCTGGGGAGAGCGCAGTTGAGCTCCCTCTGCCAGTTCCAGCTCTCCATGCAGGGTTAAGAGAGAAGCCTCCCACAAGGATGGTAAAGCAACGTCTTTGCAGACGGCCAATTCTCTCACACCAGAAGCAACTTACAGTTTCTCAAGTTGCTTCTGACACACACACACACACAAAAACCCTCTGGCCAAAGCCTACCACTAAGTAAACACGTATGCAAATGTGCTCTATGCTTGTATGATAAGATCTATGTTTTCATTGAACTAGTATCTGAATTTTCATTTATCCACATCTAACAAAATATGTCCTCTCTGGGCATTTTTAGATCCTTCCTAGATGCCAGGAGCTTAAGAACAAGTGGCTTTCTCCTCCCATTTCTGTTTCTGCTATCCTTTTCCTGATTTCCTTGCCACCACTGTTTTATTTTTGTTCCCTTGGTTACTGTTTTTACCTTGTTGTTGTTCATTCATTCAGTCATTTCTGACTCTTACTGACTTCATGGACCAGTCCACACCAGAGCTCCCTGTCAGTCGTCACCACCCCCAGCTCCTTCAAGGTCAATCCAGGCACTTCAAGGATACCATCCATCCATCTTGCCCTTGTTTACTTTATTATTTATTTACTTACTTTATTTGTATACCGCTGTTCTCAGCCCTTAGGCGACTCATGGCGGTGTACAGTACACATAAAAGACAAATTACAAAACCGGTATCGACAACATATAACTATACCACAACTTACAGACTACACAAAAATCCGCTTCGTCTCTTAATGGAATCATAACCAATCTCATCATCCTTGTACCATTCCAGTTCTCATTACCGTATTATTTGTGCTTAGCACTTAATTAAATGCCCTCTCAAACAACCAGGTCTTAAGGGTTTTCCGAAAGGACATGAGGGAGGGCGCCTGTCTGATGTGTGTCGGGAGGGTGTTCCACAGCCGGGGGGCCACCACCGAGAAGGCCCTCCTCTCGTCCCCGCCAGACGTGCCTGTGAGGCAGGCAGGATTGAGAGAAGGGCCTCCCCAGACGATCTCAAGGTCCTCGTGGGCTCATAGGCCGAGATGCGGTCCGAAAGGTATTTTGGGCCGGAACCGTTTAGGGCTTTGTAGGCCAACACCAGCACCTTAAATTGGGCCCGGTAGCAAATCGGCAGCCAGTGGAGCTGGTACAACAAGGGCGTTGTGCTCCCTGCGTCCCGCTCCTGTTAGTAACATGGCTGCCGCGCGCTGAACTAGCTGGAGCTTCCGGGCCGTCTTCAAGGGCAGCCCCACGTAGAGAGCGTTGCAGTAGTCAAGCCGGGATGTGACCAGAGCATGTACCACCGTGGCCAAGTCAGACTTCCCGAGATACGGGCGCAGCTGGCGCACGAGCCGAAGCTGTGCAAATGCTCCCCTGGTCACCGCTGAAACCTGGGGATCCAGGCTCAACGATGAGTCCAGGGTCACACCCAAGCTGCGAACCTGCGCCTTCAAGGGGAGTGCGACCCCGTCCAGCACAGGCTGTAACCCTATATCCCGCTCGGTCTTACGACTGACCAGGAGTACCTCTGTCTTGTCTGGATTTAGTTTCAGTTTGTTCGCCCTCATCCAGACCGTCACAGCGGCCAGGCACCGGTTCAGGACCTCGACAGCCTCCTTAGTAGCAGGTGGAAAGGAGTGACAGAGTTGGACATCGTCTGCGTACAGATGACACCGCACCCCGAAACTCCGGATGATCTCACCCAGCGGCTTCATGTAGATATTAAACAGCATGGGGGACAGTATGGAACCCTGTGGAACCCCACAAGTCAAAGGCTGTGGCGTTGAACAGGTGTCCCCCAATAACACCTTCTGGGTGCGACCCTCCAGAAATGACCGGAGCCACTGCAGAGCAGTGCCCCCAAGGCCCATTTCCGCAAGGCGCCCCAGAAGGATACCGTGGTCGACGGTATCGAAGGCCGCTGAGAGGTCCAGGAGCACCAACAGGGACACACTCCCCCTGTCTAGCTCCCGGCGCAGATCATCCACTAAGGCGACCAAGACCGTCTCGGTACCATGTCCCGGTCTGAAACCAGACTGTGCCGGATCCAGATATCCGTGTCTCTCAAGAATACCTGGAGTTGTGAGGCCACCACGCTTTCCATGACTTTGCCCACCAGAAGCAACTTACAGTTTCTCAAGTTGCTTCTGACACACACACACACACACAAAAACCCTCTGGCCAAAGCCTACCATTAAGTAAACACGTATGCAAATGTGCTCTATGCTTGTATGATAAGATCTATGTTTTCATTGAACTAGTATCTGAATTTTCATTTATCCACATCTAACAAAATATGTCCTCTCTGGGCATTTTTAGATCCTTCCTAGATGCCAGGAGCTTAAGAACAAGTGGCTTTCTCCTCCCATTTCTGTTTCTGCTATCCTTTTCCTGATTTCCTTGCCACCACTGTTTTATTTTTGTTCCCTTGGTTACTGTTTTTACCTTGTTGTTGTTCATTCATTCAGTCATTTCTGACTCTTCGTGACTTCATGGATCAGTCCACGCCAGAGCTCCCTGTCAGTCGTCACCACCCCCAGCTCCTTCAAGGTCAATCCAGTCACTTCAAGGATACCATCCATCCATCTTGCCCTTGGTCAGCCCCTCTTCCTTTTTCCTTCCATTTTCCCCAGCATAATTGTCTTCTCTAAGCTTTCCTTTCTTCTCATGATGTGGCCAAAGTACTTCATCTTGGCCTCTACTATTCTTCCCTCCAATGAGCCAGTCAGGCTTTATTTCTTGAAGTATGGACTGGTTGGATCTTCTCGCTGTCCAAGGCATTCTCAGCACTTTCCTCCAACACCACAGTTTTACCTTCCCTTACCAGTGGATTTATAATGCAAGGGGAGCTGACTAGATTTCAGCCATTGTATCATTTATCATCGATAGCATGATACTATCATTTATCATTTTTATAGTTTTATATACGTCATAGTGGATCTGCTTTTAGCAAAGAAGAGTTGGCAAAGCAATTAGAACTGAAAATAATTTGAACTGAAAACAAGCTAATTGATTAAATAATGCCATGTTCCTTAGAGAGCTTGCTTTCACTGGGTTAGGCTGTCCATTAAAAGGAATAATGAATATTTGTAATTCAGCAAATATGATTTTTTTCATCTTTTGTTTAACTGACATGTTTGGGTTTTTTGCCATAACATTAATTTCAGCTCTTTTTTCCCCCCACAGTGTCTGTTTGTCCCAGACCAGCAGCATCCCAGGATGTCTCAATTTCCCCATTTAAAAGTGAATACAACATTGGAGAAACTATCCAGCTTAGGTGCCCTGTGACTTTTGTGTTAAATGGCCAGAGCCAATACACTTGCGGCCAGGGGCCATCATGGAAACCTTCCATTTTGAGACTACTTACTTGTGAAAGAGGTAAAGGCAACCTAATGCTTATATTGTTGGATCTGGGACACTCAGAGTTAAATCATCACTCAACTATGAATCTCTGGCTGACATACAGTCAGTCATGCTCCTTTGTAGGATTGTTGTGAGGTGAAAATGAGAAGCACATATGTATATGCTGCTTTTAGCAAGGGGAAGACTTTTAATTCACTCTGGCTTTTCAAATAACTTATCTAGTTAAACCGCTGAACTGCTGAACTTGCTGACTGAAGGCTGTCAGTTTGAATCCAGGGAGTGGGGTGAGCTCCCACTGTTAGCCCCAGCTTCTGCCAACTTAGCAGTTTGAAAACATGCAAATTGAATAGATCAATAGGTACTACTTCTGTGGGAAGGTAACGGTGTTCCATGTGCTCATAATGGCCACATGACCTTGGAGGTGTCTATGGAGAATGCCGGCTCTTCAGCTTAGAAATGGAGGTGAGCACCACCCACCAGAGTCGGACACGACTAGACTTAATGTCAAGGAAAACCTTTACATTTACTTTTATTTCATGTGTTATTTTCCATTTTTCTTTGGGGAATTTTGTTTTAATAATAACAACAAAATCAGCCCTGCAATGTAAGTGGAAGGCTGATGGACTTAGGAGAGTGAGGGCAGTACATTTAAAGATACTAGAGGTGAAGCCATACACCCCAATTTCTCCTGTGCATGGGCCTTCAAGTTGTATGTTGACTTAGAGTGGCTCTTTAAATTTCATCAGGTTTTCTAAGTTAAGGGATATTCAGAGGTGGTTTGTACAGGTCCTTCCTCTAAAATAGGAAGGACCTGGCTATAGCCTATGGCACTAGTATTTGTTGGTGGTCTCCCATCCAAGTATGAACTGGAGCTGACCCTGCTTTGCTTCCAAGATCAGATAGTATGTGGTGCCTTCATTTTGCTATATTCATTACAGACATAAAACTTGTACCACACTGCTATCCTTGTTTCCATATATCCTCAAAATTTTGGTTTCCTTTTCTATTGCAGCTGATTACATTCAAAACCAAGGAAGCTGCAGTCCAGGGCAAAAGCTGGTTGGATCTCAGTGTGTGTGCATGTCCCCAACAGAGGATTGTCGGTAAGTTATAGATAGATAAGCATCACTTTTTGACATTTGTGGAAACGTTTACAGTCCTTAATAGCCAAAGATTCATGTTTGGATATAACGGAAGCCTTCTTTGTGTATTGTCTCAAATGTGCTACTGACAAATATGGAAAGGGATTATGCACACTTGGCAACCTCCCATCCCCATCCCATTCCCATCCCATGGTGTGGAGTGTCAGCATCCGCCAGGCATCTGTTCCCCTTGTGTCCAGTCTAAGCTAAATATTACCCATTTCAGATGTATTTATTAAAATATTTACACCCTGCCTGACCTTAGGGTGATGTACAATAAAAACCAATTTATCACAATTTCTGAACAATTCAAAGTGTGAAACAGTAAGCAATAATTTACAGTCTAAAGCAGGCATGGGCAAACAATTCACAACACCAGCATGTGGTAGTTTGTGTTTTACAATTATTCATCCACTAGTTGATTTTCTGCACATGCATGAATATAGTTCAATTTTAAACTGTGTGGCAAATTCTGTGCTACTCTTGAAATTCTCTTAATCATTAGGATGGTTGTTGTTAAGTATGGGTTCCAGGTGTATTTTTGGATGACAGTTCCCATTAGCCCCAGCTAACATAACCATGGAAAGAGAACTGAAGGCAGTTGTGAGCCAAAAACATCTAGAAAACTACAGCTGTCTATCCCTACATTAAGATTTATGATGCCATAAGGTTTGTTGCTTGCAACATTCTTGATGTATTGTGGGCCATCAGAGTTTGATTCCAGGACTCCTTGTGGATATCAAATATATGGATGCTCAAGTCCCACTTAACTAAAATGGCAAACAACTCAAATGACTGGCAGGGAGAGTCTGAGGATCTGTAGAATGCCTACAACTCAGTGTAGAGCTCAGCAGATGGGTAAAGCAAGGTTTGCTTTTTGGAACTTTTTTCAAATATTTTTGAGCTGGCTTTTCCAATCAAGAAGACTCTGCTGAGCATCCTCCAAGACAAATTCAAGGGTTCTCTTTAGAATAAACAAAGCTAAAGAAAACTTCCTTGTGTCTTGTTCCTTTGGATCCTTTTATTACTCAATAAGATTTATCATGTTGTCTTTTGGCAGCCACTACTCTGAAGATATTTGTGTACTGGAACCAGCTTCTGAACAAACACTTACAAAGCCCAGCTGCCAATTCTTGGCAGAGAAATGTTTGGGAGAGCATTCCTTCCATTTCCTGCATTCTGGCCCCTGCCGCAGTGATGTTGACTTGAGTTGGGCCATAGAAAGGGTCAAAATCTCTACAGACAGCATGAAGAGGAAACCCTGTGGCTATGATTTGTGCTATGACTGGGAAGAATGCTCGGGTATGTATGATTTGATCCTCTGATTGCATTGATTTGAGACATATACTTCTAAAGTGGTAGAGAAGCATATAACCTATCATAGAATCATAGAATCAAAAAGTTGGAAGAGACCTCATGGGCCATCCAGTCCAACCCCCTGCCAAGAAGCAGAAATATTGCATTCAAATCACCCCTGACAGATGGCCATCCAGCCTCTGTTTAAAAGCTTCCAAAGAAGGAGCCTCCACCACACTCCAGGGATCTAACTGAACTTCATCTCTCATAAGCCTTGGGAATTACAGCAGTAACAGATGACTGCTCATGTTGGAGGACAGTTTAGATTTAATCTGAAGTTCAAAAGAGAGTGCTGAAGATTATAAATTTAGAGATACGGTTCCACACCTTTGGTTGCACCAGATTAATAACTGGAATAGATCCACTAGTTCAATAACAGGAAGGCCAGCAGCCATGACCTGGGACTTCATCAGATGCAGGGTTCCCCCCATTTCTATACTCTTTATAAACATTTTAAAGAATCCCATGGAGCCCATCAAATGATTCAAGAGTATTTCTGCCCATTGCCCATGAGATTCTGTTTTTAAACTGTTTTAAAGTGTGTAGAACAGACCAGAATTTGGTAATGATGTTGTTCTGATGGATGGGGGTGCAGTCATATGTGTACAAAGAGTAAAGCAGAGGACTCAGCACACAGCCCTGTGGTGTTCCAGTGTTGAGAGTGGGAGCTGATGAGGCAAGCACATTTGAAACAATTTGAGGTGGACTGTTTGTCTGGAACTGTGCAGAGAGAATCCATGACCCATTAAACTTTATGAACAATTCACATCTTCGTAGAAGAATGACTTGCACAATATGAATTTAATTCCTGTTATTTAGTTTACACAGCTATTTTGCATGTGGAAAATATTGTATTTTAAATAGATCTGCTTTTGTTTTTGTTTTGTTTTTTGGAAATTTACAACCAACTTCCTAAACAAAATGCTTGAAGTGGTGGCTGTTTTGCTCATTACCAATGATTAAAAAACTTATAGAAACATCTTTTATAATGATTGACACCCCAACCCTTTTGCCTCTGCTTCTCCCTTTTCAGATTGCATAGCATCCTGGGAACTACCCACTTCCGCTCTAATATTACCCTGGTTCTCTTTCATTGTTCTGTTGTCATGCAGTGTTTTCTGCTTATTGAATAGAGTGTGCCTATGTGTACTGAAAGAAACAAAATCCCCTATAACAGTTATTGAGCAACATGGGGAAACAGTCATAGATTTTCCCGTAAATTTGTGAATTGTTTGTTGACTGGAACATGATACCGAGTAGCCTTGCCAGAAAAAAAGGAAGGGCAATGAATCTGTGTAAACATAAGTTGGTGTGGGAAAGAAATTTCATTGGAATGAGAAATGTCTCCTCTCCCTCTAGTAGAAGCAAGTTTTAGTGCACTTTAAAAAAAATAGCCATGCTGATTCATGAGAAAAACAACAACAGTATCTACGGCTAAGCAATATTTTCATTATAACCAAACAAAATGCCCCTTCAAAGGAACTGAGGATTCTATTGAGATGGAGTTTTATTTTAATTTATCTAGTGATACAGATGGCTGTAGACTTTTCAATCCTATTTCTCTCTTCAATTAAAAAAGTAATAATAAAAATTGTATTCAAGCAGTAAAAACCTCCAATAAAATAAAGAAAAGCAATAGATATAGTAAAACAAACTAAGCCTGCAGATTGGCAAACAAGAATTTTTAATATATCCCTGAAAAATATGTTAGAATAATTGAGATAAATCACCTTCCTTATCTCAAGTTTCTTCTACGGTTCAAATTTCCTCTTAAAGGCACAAAGTGGTAAAAAACACTTAATCCAGCTTTCACTGAAAGTTGCACTTTTATTTACAAAATATACTTTTATTTACAAAATATACAAGACAACTTTCAATCATGTCCGCTCACATCTTGGCACACTGCAAGAAGCACATTTCTTTCTAATCAGAGCTTCTTCATGGTCAGCACAGGAACCTCCAAATGTGACACTCTACCAATACTACAAATCTCTATGTTTTAACCATACATTTCTGAAATCACCCAGTTTAAACTATAAGCCATTTTCATACTATATAATCTTACATACTGACAAAATATATGTACAAGTAAAACTAAAAACATTTTTTATACATTTTTCTTGTAGAGTCACGTTTGGAATGCTTCTGCCTGCTACCAAATCAATGCCCACGAAACAATGAAGAACAACTTTTCTGCATCCAAACTAAGTCAAGAAGTACTACTGTCAACCTCTGCATGCTGGCAACAATGAAGTGCTCTAAAAGAAACTTTGAAGTACTACATGAAGGAAGCTGTTAAGACTGAAAGCCTTTAAGATCAGCAACAGACTGTCTGCTCTTCTACTTACTGTTTGAATGTGTATTGTATCTTGCCAGTAACACACTACTAGATCAAAGAGGCGATATAACACAACAACCTAAATATTTTAGCTGTCTGACCCCTTACATTCCACAGAATGGTATACTAAAAATTGACTACAACTCAGTAACAGGCCATGTATGCAGAGTTCACAATGTTACTTTTAAGGCTACAATTTCTAGAATACCCTAATCAATATGACCATTTTCCATGCTGTTTTGGGTGTTGTATTCCAGAAAATTAATTTTTCCCAGTTCTTGCAAGACACATAAAACCACCACTAGAAAGTTCTCAGAGAGCAAGGTTAGAAAGACTGTGGTCTGAGACCTTGGTGAGAACCACTATCACCTGATACAGATAATGGTGAGCCTTACTGATCACTAGCATTGCTTTCTGTAAAGCAGCATTATTCTAAATTCATAAAATAAATGGAGGGTTATTCTGCAGAGATGGGAAAATGCCAGCATTGCCTTGGGGGCAGCGCTCTGGCCGTTGCTGGTGCCATTTTTCAGGCAGGCATTACAAAGGCCTTTTGCCACTTCACTTAGAAAAGGGAGCAGTTCCTTTTTTATATATGAGTTAATTTGCAATACATATTGACACATGGATAAATTGACTCTTTTTTTGGTGGCTGATTTTTGACTGAAACCTCTATAGCAGGCATGGACAAACTTTGGCCATCCAGGTGTTCTGGACTTCAACTCCCACAATTCCTAACAGCTGATAGGCTGTTAAGAATTGTGGGAGTTGAAGTCCAAAAAACTGGAGGGCCGAAGTTTGTCCATGCCAACTTTAGATATACATGAATTTGTGTGTGTGTGTGTGTGTGTGTGTGTATTGCATTGTCAGAAAGAAACAGTGTGGACCTGTGTACCACACTGGACTTCTATACGATTTCTGGAATATCACCAGTTTACAGTATACATCTGGAATATCATCAGTATACCAGTATATATCAACATTAATGCCCTAGAATCCATTTGGCAAAAATTTCAGGAGCTAGGTTTCTGTTCTGTTAAAACTTAACTAATGCAAATAAATGTGTGTTCAAAAAGTCCACTTTCATTTATTTGCTGGAGTGAGCCCTTCAAAAGAATTAGCTTCTCAATACTTCCTCAAAGTGGACCATATGGCTGAATGTGTAAGCAGATTGTGCACACAGTAGCATTTCCTTCACTGCGTGATCAATTGGACTTGGCATTTTATGGTTTTCTACAGGGTTTTTAGTCCACTAAGGTAAGTCTGACTATTGTTGGTTGACATTTATTAATGTTTATGTTAAACAATGTATCAAAAATATAAAGATTTTCCATACTTTGTCTCAGTCATAAATCTGACTGTAGAAATCAGAAGACTTGGAGTTGGATGGCAGTTGTGAAGGAACTAGACATGTTTCACAGATACAAAGAAATATAATTGAACACGAGAAGTCATGATCATTCCTGTTATAGTATTTCTGATTTCTAATGAGGAAAGCTGACAGCAGGAGAATTAATAGCCACTATGGTGCAATGGATTAAACACTTGTGCTGGCTGGACTGCTGACCTGAAGGTTGGGTTGCTTATCTGAGGGTTGCCAGTTCAAATCCGCGAGATGGGGTGAGCTCCTGTCTGTAGCTCTAGCTTGCAGGACATGAAAGAAGCCTCCCAGCAGGATAGTAACACATTCAGGCATCCCCTGGGCAATTTCTCTGTAGACAGCCAATTCTCTCACACCAGAAACAACTTACAGTATGTTCTCAAGTTGCTTCTGACACAATAAAAAAGCAGGAGAATCAACTATTTCAAATGTTGTACTGAAGATACCATGGACCTCTAAAAAGATAAATAAATGGATCCTAGAGTAAATCCAGCCTGAACTCTCTGATTTCAATATGCTGTAGTAGCAATCGTCCATTTAATAGGTTAAACCCTTGTGCTGGCAGGACTGGTCAACCGATAGGTTGACTGTTCAAATCCATGGAGCTGGGTAAGCTGCTGTCTGTTGAACTCTAGCTTCTCATGTGAGGAAATGAGAGAAGCCCACACAGGATGGTAAAATATCAATCATCCGGACATGCCCTGGGCAACGTCCTTGCAGACAGCCAATTCTCTCACACCAGAAGTGACTTGCAGTTTCTCAAGTCGCTTCTGACATGGAAAAAAAAGTAATAGGAAATAATACCTACTGACAGTGAATCTGTGCCAAGTTTTAGTCTGCAATTTTAGAATCCAGTCAAGTTGTTGAATGTATTGTGCAAAGACAGAATGCCCGGACATTGTAGTTTCTTCAAGCATATCTTCAAGCTAAACCCTGGAACGGATTCATTATCCCCTTTACTTGGAAGCCTCCGGTGAAATTTAATGATGAGATTAGGCCATGTTTTTTTCCTTGTCTGCTATCATGTGGTATTATCTTCATCCAGTTTGGACCCACAAAAGCAGTTCAGCAATGGAATGAGCTTATCGAGGAGATTATAGGTTCTCCTTCCTTAGCTGTTTGGTTCGAAAGACTTGAAAAGGTCCACTTCAGCAATATCAAGAAAAAATAAAGCAATGGTCTAAACTACAGCTCTTTTTATTAGGCAGTCTATCACTTATCAGAGCTCACATTTTCTTTAATTTTTTATGTATTAGGATTTATTAGGTTAAATGTTGGGTCAAAAGTCCACTTCAGAAGGGCACTGTTACCAATTTCTATATTTGAAAGCAAAAGCGAACACTTGCCAAATAGCATTTACATTAAATGCTGCAAGACTAGAAATAATCAAGGGATTTTTTCATAATAATAATAATAATAATAATAATAATAATAATAATACACTTTATTTATATTCCTCCTTATCTCCCTGGAGGGACTCAGAGCAGATTACAATATACAATATACATATATGAGGCAAACATTCAATGTCCTTTACACACAGTGAAGAAAAATGTCCTCAGTGCAAATATGGTTGATACTTATCATGCTAATGACACATCCTACTCCTTATAACATTCCCCTTGTAGCCTTATTAAGACCCATGTCCAGTGACATCACAAGGGATGATTCTTGGGTCTCATGTTTTTTGGTGCTGAAATCTCAAGCCTGGGTTAGTCCTGACCTGGCAACCCTAAATCAGGTGGGTGAGGACAAGACCAATGTGGTCTCATTCACAACTATATTGCCTACGGCATACCATATAGACACAATACTTTCCAGTGGTACGGGACATACACTGAACTTTCTGTTTGTTCCAAAAATACATCGTAAAATGTAGCCAGAAGAAATCCGTTGTGCATATAAAATGGACATCAACTAGAAAATGATAATTCAAAAGCAACAAAAACATATTTTAATAACAAATAATACCATACAATTAGAAGATCAAAGAAATTTCCAGCCTATTCATCCCACCCTTGACATTTTTGAAAAAAGATTATTGCATTTCAAATAGTCTGTTTATCAAATAAATCCATAATACAGTGGCTTTACAAAGATGATAAATGAAAGACAATAATAAATCAGAAAAAGGGGCCTCATGTACCATAAGGTCTAGCCCTGCTGCTAAATGAAGGATCTCCAGTTAAAGCATTCCTAGCAGAGAACTGTTTAGCCTCTTTTTGAAGACGTCCAGAAAGGGAGACCCCTCACCACACCTCACCCCACCTCAACTTGCTATTGGTTTCATACTTTGTTCCAAGTATTATTATGTCTGGCATCAAAACATGGAGCCACATTTAAATCTTAGAGCTTTGTGGGGATGGGTGGGTAAATAAACCAAATACAGAGGTGGCTAACAGTTATAAATTTTGAAACTGAATTCAAACTTGGAAAGTTGAATGGGGGCAGCTGAATACCACAGGGAAGGGGGGGGGCTTGAACAAAGATCAAGGACAAAGATGGTAAAGCCAAAACAGAGTAGATGAGTCCAGATGTCATTCTTTTCAGTTTGGTTAATTTACCAAGTATACACAAAAAAAGGGGATGTTTACTCAGAAAGAGTCTTCACTTTCACTTCTGCAAAGTACTGCTTAGATTCATGTAACAACTTTTCTGTTTCTAAAGTACAATTCATGTCCATAAAGTGTATGGAAAATATTTGAAAAGTATGTTAATATTTGAAACAGCATTTTCTGTGTTAGCAATAATATATTATTTTCTGTGCAAAACAAAGGAGTACAGATTGAAAATTGACTCTGAAAACTGTATCATTTTGGAAGTCTTTTTGCACAACACAAATAACATTGATAAAATTACTTGTTGCTTCATTAAGAAGAAACTTAGTTAAGAATTACTCCTAAAAATGTGTGAATTTGATTGGTACCTGAGCATGAAGAAAACAACAGAGCTTTATAGACAGTAGCAGCTAAGAACATCCATGGTAATGAGTGGTAAATCTGCTGACAAGTTTAGTCTAAACTTGAATGGAGTTATCAAAAGGGATATAGATGCAGTGTGTGGATAGGGTTCAGCACCCTTAAAGATCAAACAAAAATCCTGAAGCAGATCCTGTATTCCCATGCAGCCCTACAGCTACCATTCTTTATAGATGTAAAAAAGTGCTTAGAGTATCTAAGGTAAAGGTTTCCCTTTGACATTAAGTCTAGCAGTGTCCAATTCTGGGGCGGAGGGGGGGAGGGTGCTCCTCTCCATTTCTAAGCCAAAGAGGCAGCGTTGTTCGCAGACGTCTTCAAGGTCACGTGGCTGGCATGACTGCATGGAGTGCCGTTACCTGCCCGCCAAAGCACTACCTATTGATCTACTCACATTTGCATGTTTCTGAACTGCTAAGTTGGCAGAAGCTGGGGCTAACAGAATAAGCTCACCCCCTTCTCCAGATTAAAACTGCCAACCTTTCCATTAGCAAGTTCAGAGGTTTAACCTGCTGCACCACCAGGGCTCCTTACAGTATATATAAACTTTAAAAGCACTAGCCTGATTATTATTTTTTTGCAATGGGACCTTGCAAATCATTGCTACAGGTAACATTGAATAAATATACTCAAGCATACATGCATGTCTCCATCTTTTTGTCGCTTAACAGCTCTGAAAAATGGGAGAAATCCGCTTACTCTTGCTTATTTTGCTGACTGTTGTAATTAAGAAAACGTTTGGATGCTACTGTGACCATTATTCCTGGAATTCTTGGTCCAGCTGTTCAAGAACTTGCAACTATGGGATACAAAGCAGATCAAGGTTAGTACAAGCAAGAATATAGATTTCCAAAGAAGGAAAATGATTGCATTCATCAATTTTTTTTCATATAAATACTGGTGATGTAATGTAGAAAGATCATTCTTATTCCCTTTTGACAGCCAGAGAAAAGAGTTAGGAAGAGATGGAAGAATCCCATCCACTATAGTCTATCTCCATCTTGAGAGATAGAAAATGGGCTCCTCTCACAAAGCCTTCCCATACTTTAGGTGATCACTTGTGGCCAACTATAATTGTCTTTCAAGGGCAGAGTCTTGGTAGTGGGTCCGTAAGTGACCGTGGAGGCCTATTTTGGATCCACATGGTATTTCACAGTGAGGACATACTTTCCAGATGGAAGACAGTGCCGGCAAGGGTTTGCTTGACACCTCTAGGCACGTTTCTCTCTTTCGTCCTCTATTTGTGCCTGTTCAAAATCCATAGCACTGTTGGTAACAGCTGACCTCCAGTTAGAAGCTCGAGGGTCAGGGCTTTCCAGTTCTCATTGTTTATTCCATGTTTTTTGAGGTTAGCTTTAAGCCCATCTTTAAATCTCTTTTGGTGTCCAGTGACATTCTGTTTTTGTTCTTGAGCTGAGAATAAAGTAACTGCTTTGGGAGACAATGATCAGGCATTTGGACAACATCTGCATGCTAGAGACAGTTTATAAGAGGGTGGTGATGGGAATGTTTGGCAAGTGTTTCTTAATCAAGAGGGGAAGGCATGCCCATTAATCCCAGTGGCTATTTACTGGTGTGGGCTTTGGGGGGCTTTCATGATCTTATGTAATGACTAAGCTAGAATCTATGTAGGGATCATGAATATGTAGCACTGACAAATGCATCAGTGTAGATTACATATTCATAATTACAGATGTGATTGATTTTTGGTACTCACAAAACACACAGGATATGGCTTGTTGTAGGTTTTTTCGGACTATATAGCCATGTTCTAGAAGCATTATTTCCTGACGTTTCGCCTGCATCAATGGCAGGCATTCTCAGAGGTTGTGAGGTCAGACTTCACAACCTCTGAGGATGCCTGCCATAGATGCAGGTGAAATGTCAGGAGAGAATACTTCTAGGACATGGCCATACAGCCTGAAAAACCTACAACAACCCGGTGATTCTGGCCATGAAAGCCTTTGACAATACACGCAGAACGTGTGATTAATTTTGATGCCGTGGCTCAAATATTTTTTTGAGCTATGAAACTGTCAGCTGCTTACTGCGGATGTGAAAACCTGCAGATACTTCATTAGCAAAACAAAGTGATGGGATGGGCAATTCAATGGGGAAAAATATTTTCAGGGTGTTTTTATTGCTTAAGTAATAAAAGTAACCATGCCTCTGCCATTCATTTGAATTTCAAGCTGTTGGTCAAAACAATTTGAATTGCTCCACTGGACTGCAGGAGGGGAATTCCAGTGTAAAGATAAGCACAGGTTATTCTTCCTTATTAGATACTCTGAACGGGGTGTTATGGTTTACAGGAATTATTAGAGAGGGAATAATAATGACTTTGTCTTCTTCTTCATTCACATTAAACTTTTGCATTATGAATTTGACGAAATATATCAAACAAGCCGAGGCAAAATTCTCCCCTATTTGTACTGGTTAAGGAGACCATTTGGTGTAGTGGTTTGATCATTGGACTGCAGTTCTGGATAACAGGGTTTGGACTCTCACTTGGCCATAGCAATCCGCAGGCCCATAGCTAGGATTTTGATTGGGGGGGGGAGGGCTAAGTTTGATTCGGGGGGGTGGGGGTGGCTGAGGATCTACCCTAGCAAACCTTTTGGGTCATTATCCCAATATCCCCATGCATATGGGATATATTGAGCATGGTGAGCAGATCATGATATGAATAAATATAACAGTTTAAATAATGTACTAGTAAGGCCTTCTCGTGGACCACCCTGAGAATTTCGACTGAAGCCCCTCAAGCCTCCCCCCCCACAGCTAAATGCCTGAGCAGGAGGGCTAAGGGGATTAAAGGGGAGGGTCCTCCTTCTTCTCAAATCCCTTTCCTCTTGCAATTTCTCCCATGTTTATCCCCCTCCCCTCCACTAAGTTCTTTCCAAATGAAATGTGATGAAAGTTACACAAATCTAGCAGAAATTTTGATAAGTGCTTATCAAAAATGAACTGAGATTAAATTCCTAACCTTCACAGCAGGTTGGTGGAAGCAACTTTAGCTCAGTAGCCCCATCCTCTATTTATGTTCCCCAAAGGGATATGTTATGTGGCTCTTCTGTATTCCCCACTCCACCCATGCCAGGGCCGGCCACGTTGTCTGGATGCCTGACCACTGTCTCCCAAAGCAGTTGCTCTACTCTGAACTTAAGAACGGAAAACGGAATGTTGGTGGACAGGAAAAGAGATTTAAAAATGGCCTCAAAGCCAACCTTAAAAACTCTGGCATAGACACTGAGAACTGGGAAGCCCTGGCCCTTGAGCACTCCAGCTGGAGGTCAGCTTTGACCAGCAGTACTGCAGAATTCGAGGGGGCACGAGTGGAGGGTGAAAGAGAGAAACGTGCCAGGAGGAAGGCGCGCCAAGCCAACCCTGACCGGGACCACCTTCCACCTGGAAACTAATGCCCACACTGCGGAAGAAGATGCAGAGCAAGAATAGGGCTCCACAGCCACATGCGGACCCACAGGGAAACCCATAATGGAAGACCATCTTACTCGTCCAACGAGGGATCGCCTAAGTAAGTAAGTTCCATTAAATAAAAACCATCACTAACCGAAAGCTATATTTAATCTTACAGACAGAGAAACCAGGATGCTTATTATTATAAAAATTCATGCGATAGACTGTGCACATGGAGCGAATCTCGAGCATGTAACCAGGAATCATGCCACATCAATTGCCAAATGAGTGACTGGAGCACATGGTCAGAATGCGACCCATGTGTTAAAAAACAAGTAAGCCATTTAATCACAGGATGCATTGGCAAATAGGTAAAAATGTTCTTTTCTACCTTGTGCAAATGATGCAGTACAAGTGCAGATATTGTTCTTGATGGAATTGCTAATGCATATTGCTAAGGTAACCACTAAACAGGAATTTGGAAGAGTTTCTTTTTTGGATTACAAATCCCCGAGTCTTCATGTCAATATTCTATACAGTTGCAAGTGACTAAAATTGGGTTTTTTTAGTGGTTGCCCCACTATAAGGAATACCTTGCTTCACAAAGTTGACATGGCCCTGTCTCTATCTACTATTTTCCCTTGGCAAGCAACACCTAATTTGTTAGGTTCTTGTGGGTTTTTTCGGGCTATAGGACCATGTTCTAGAGGCATGCCTCTAGAACATGGCCATATAACCTGAAAAAACCCACAAGAACCTAGTGATTTCAGCCATGAAAGCCTTCGACAATACATTTGTAGGCCTGGGCGGTTTCATTCGTTAATTTCGTAATTCGTTAAATATTCATTATTTTTAGCAATTACGAAACGATTACAAAACACATTTTCAAACCCGGAAGGGTTTTAAATAACGAAACGGCATCCCCCATACTTTTAACGAGCTTCCGCCCGTTTCGTAAATGGGATGGAGGATGCTGGTGCCCTGGGAGCCAATCCGGCGCTCCCAAGCACCCAAGCAGTGCACCGTGGCTGTTTCTGATTGGCCGGCGAGCCCTTTAAAAGCGGCTCCGCGCGGCCGTACAGCTCATTGCTGCAGAGGGCGAGGGAGAAGAGAAGAGGTCCGGGAGGGTTTTGGATTGGATTCATTCCTTGCTTATTCATTCCTTGCTTGGATTCATTCCTTGCTGCTTATTATTAATTCCTTGCTTGGATTCATTCCTTCCTTCGGTTTTTGTCAATTTGTTTGTTAATTTTCCATTTTTAAATATTTTTTAAAAATACCTGTCTTTTATTCTTAAAAAAACCAAAAAATATTCTTAAAAAAGAAAAGTCTCTTCTGTTGCTGTGTGCTCTCGTTTTCCCTGTCTTGTGGCTGTGTTTGCTTCATATCAGGGCCAGTTTTTGGTTAATTTTCCATTTTTGAATATTTTTTAAAAATACCTGTCTTTTATTCTTAAAAAAAACAAAAAATATTCTAAAAAAAGAAAAGACTCTTCTGTTGGTGTGTGCTCTCATTTGCCCTGTCTCGTGGCTGTGTTTGGTCCACATCAGGGCCAGTTTTTGGTTAATTTTCCATTTTTGAATATTTTTTAAAAATACCTGTCTTTTATTCTTAAAAAAAAACAAAAAATATTCTAAAAAAAGAAAAGACTCTTCTGTTGGTGTGTGCTCTCGTTTGCCCTGTCTCGTGGCTGTGTTTGGTCCACATCAGGGCCAGTTTTTGGTTAATTTTCCATTTTTGAATATTTTTTAAAAATACCTGTCTTTTATTCTTTAAAAAAAAACAAAAAATATTCTTAAAAAAGAAAAGTCTCTTCTGTTGCTGTGTGCTCTCGTTTGCCCTGTCTCGTGGCTGTGTTTGGTCCACATCAGGGCCAGTTTTTGGTTAATTTTCCATTTTTGAATATTTTTTAAAAATACCTGTCTTTTATTCTTAAAAAAAAAAATATTCTAAAAAAAGAAAAGACTCTTCTGTTGGTGTGTGCTCTCATTTGCCCTGTCTCGTGGCTGTGTTTGGTCCACATCAGGGCCAGTTTTTGGTTAATTTTCCATTTCTGAATATTTTTAAAAATACCTGTCTTTTATTCTTAAAAAAAAAAATATTCTAAAAAAGAAAAGACTCTTCTGTTGGTGTGTGCTCTCATTTGCCCTGTCTCGTGGCTGTGTTTGGTCCACATCAGGGCCAGTTTTTGGTTAATTTTCCATTTTTGAATATTTTTAAAAAATACCTGTCTTTTATTCTTAAAAATACAAAAATATTCTAAAAAAAGAAAAGACTCTTCTGTTGGTGTGCTCTCATTTGTCCCTGTCTCGTGGCTGTTTGTCCACATCAGGGCCAGTTTTTGGTTAATTTTCCATTTTTGAATATTTTTAAAAATACCTGTCTTTTATTCTTAAAAAAATACAAAAAATATTCTAAAAAAGAAAAGACTCTTCTGTTGGTGTGTGCTCTCGTTTGCCCTGTCTCGTGGCTGTGTTTGGTCCACATCAGGGCCAGTTTTTGGTTAATTTTCCATTTCTGAATATTTTTTAAAAATACCTGTCTTTTATTCTTAAAAAAATACAAAAAATATTCTAAAAAAGAAAAGACTCTTCTGTTGGTGTGTGCTCTCATTTGCCCTGTCTCGTGGCTGTGTTTGGTCCACATCAGGGCCAGTTTTTGGTTAATTTTCCATTTTTGAATATTTTTTAAAAATACCTGTCTTTTATTCTTAAAAAAAACCAAAAATATTCTAAAAAAGAAAAGACTCTTCTGTTGGTGTGTGCTCTCGTTTGCCCTGTCTCGTGGCTGTGTTTGGTCCACATCAGGGCCAGTTTTTGGTTAATTTTCCATTTTGAATATTTTCTAAAAATACCTGTCTTTTATTCTTAAAAAATACAAAAAATATTCTAAAAAAGAAAAGACTCGTCTGTTGGTGTGTGCTCTCATTTGCCCTGTCTCGTGGCTGTGTTTGGTCCACATCAGGGCCAGTTTTTGGTTAATTTTCCATTTTTGAATATTTTTTAAAAATACCTGTCTTTTATTCTTAAAAAATACAAAAAATATTCTAAAAAAAAAAGAGTCTTCGGTGGCTGTGTGTGCGTTTGTCATTTGTGTAGTTCCAACCAGTGCGCTCCTTTTGCCAACACAAAGTGCTATAATACAGTGCTCGCTCATTTGTGTAGTTCCAGTGCGCTCCTTTTGCCAACACAAAGTGCTATAATACAGTGCTCGCTCATTATTTGTGTAGTTCCAACCAGTGCGCTCCTTTTGCCAACACAAAGTGCTATAATACAGTGCTCGCTCATTATTTGTGTAGTTCCAACCAGTGCGCTCCTTTTGCTCATTATTTGTGTAGTTCCAACCAGTGTGATGAAACGCTTCCTTCCCGGCTTTTCTAGTCGCAAGGGCCAAGTGCTATCGCGAATACCGAAGAAAGGCAGGGGACTGAAGATGAACACATTGACAAGAAGGGAACATTCATCCAACGAGATGGTTATTGAAACACCCACAGATGCTTCAACCAGCTGTGAGATGGCAGAACCTTCTTCTTCATCAGTTCGAAAGACTCTACGTTCAGATCCTGATGTCGTTCCAAGTACCTCTGATATTACTTGTTATGAAGAGGAGGGCGAGGAGGCGGACGTGTCAGAGGAATGGGAGGAAGACAAGATGGAATGTGCCACAGGAATTAGTGATCAAGAGGACTGCATGCTGATGGAGGGCGAGCTACAGAAACAACCAACGATTATACTCCCTTCCACAAACACCGACAGTCCAAACACGAGCATGAGTACATCTGAAGTGCCTAGTAGGGGTAGGCCGAGATCGCTCCTATGGGATCATTACGACGTCCATAATGAGAGGGCCACTTTGGCAGTTTGCAGGCATTGCGGTGTGAGCGTCAGCAGAGGAAAAGATATGAGGCATCTTGCCACAACAGGGCTAAGGATGCACATTAAGATACACCACCCCCAAATGTGAACTTGGTCCTTCTTACTTAACTTGCAATACTGCTACAGAAATTAGTATGTATGCAATACTTCCCAGATAATTTTCAGAGTTTTTTCAAAGTGCAATTTCTGTTACTTTTTGTTACTTTTTCTTTATTTATTTCTTATATTTACTTTCTAAGTTTTTATAATAACATTATTTTTATATATTAATAATTTATAATTTAATTTTATATATTATTTTTATTATTCTTTATAATTATATTTTATAAATATTTTATAAATTTAATTATATTTTATTTAAATATTTATATTATTATTTATTTCATTTATATAATATATATAATAATATATTATTATATTATATTATATTTATTTTATATTGTATATATTATATAATTTTATATTATTTATTGTTATTATTATTTATTATTATTATTTATATTTTATTTTATTTAAATTTTATTATTATATTATTGTTTATTTCATTATATTATTAAATTGACTCAGTTTTGGATACTTTATCTTATTACTTTTTTATTTAATATCTTAATATCTTGTTCTATTTGATTATTTTATTTGATTTATTTTATGAAATGATTTTGTTTATAGAGCATTTAGCATTGCGCAATCGCGTCCGCCGTTTTAACGAATCGATTCGTTATTATTTTAATAGCGAATCGATTCGTATTTAATAACGAAGTTTCGGAAGTCACTTTTGCGCATGCGCAATCGCGTCCGCCGTTTTAACGAATCGATTCGTTATAACCTTAACGAATCGACCCCGCGCCAATAATGAAGCTTCGGAAGTGATTTTGCGCATGCGCGGGGGTCCGCCATCTTAACGAATCGATTCGTAAATATTTACGAAATTTCGTAAATACCGAACTTTTTTAAGGGGAAAATTTTGTAATTATTTTAAATATCGAAACAAAAAAACACCCCAATTACAAATCGATTTTAGAAACAAATTTTTGCGTTGTTACCCAGGCCTACTAATTTGTTGGTTGGTTTGTTTTGACCTCTAGCCAATTTCTTTTTTGTCGAATGTCTTGCTTAATAATGAATTTATTCCATTATTTCTATTTGACCCTATATTATAGAATCCCAAGGCAGCATGCAAGTATGATCAATTTAAATGGTTTGAAACAATTGTTCTATATGATGTCATGATTATAGTTTATGGTAAGCCTCACTACAGAAGAATATGAGGGCCCTTCCAGACAGGATCTGATCCCTGGTTTTCTGTTTATGCCAGATTATCTGACAGTGCGGACTCATATATACTGTTTAAAGCAGAAAACCTAGGACCAGATCCTTGGATGTAGGGCCTGCTTCGAAGGACCCTATGGAGCCCCCGGTGGCACAGTGGGTTAAAGCACTGAGCTGCTGAGCTTGTTGATCGAAAGGTCGCAGGTTCGATTCCGGGGAGCGGCATATGCTTCCGCTGTCAGCCCTAGCTTCTGCCAACCTAGCAGTTCAAAAACATGCAAATGTGAGTAGATCAATAGGTACCGCTCCGGCGGGAAGGTAACGGTGCTCCATGCAGTCATGCCGGCCACATGACCTTGGAGGTGTCTACGGACAACGTTGGCTCTTTGGCTTAGAAATGGAGATGAGCACCACCCCAGAGTCAGACATGACTGGACTTAATGTCAGGGGACTACCTTTACCTTTACCTGGAAGGACCCTGAGAAGAATCTTGTTGAGACAGGCCAAAAGTCCACCGCACCTAGCCCAGTATCCTTTTCACCCAATGGCCAATCTATTGCTCATAGGAAGCACATTAATAGGACAACTATGCACTGCACTATCCATTTTGTACTTTCCAGAAACTGATTGACAAACACATGCTACCTTGGTTGTCAGAGGTCATATAGTGCTATTCTACTGGTAGGCATTGATGGCCATCTCCTCCATGAATTTATTCACTCCCCCTTTTGAAGCTTTTAGTACAATTTGTGACAATGAGTCCTGCAGCTTTATGTTATGTGAAGAGAAGTATGTATTCTGAATCTTCATTCAGTTTCTGCAGATGATGCTAACATAATTTCATTTCTGGCTATAGGTTAGTTTATATCATAGTCAGACTATCTGGTGTTAGAAAAATGGATGTAAGACAAAGTATGCACTGTCTGAAAGCTTTCCATCAAATCAGTTTTTTCAGCCAAGTTCACTGTGATGCTGAAATCTGGCAATTAGTATGTGTGTGTGTGACATGGGAAGCAGTAAAATGGGGGCCATATGTGGCCTAACCACAATCTGTTGCACTAAAATTCTCTTAAGCTTTTAAGTGGCTTCTAAAGTTGCATTGGATAATCAGACTTTTTGAGTTTAATCTTTACCACAATATAAAATAACTAATGTGTCTGTGTCCCTGTGCCAAAGTCCATATCTGAATGTTATAGTTACAGATATGAGTTTAAATGAGTTTATAGGTTTTAGTACCTATGGCAGGTACTAACTTGTTTCTATCTTTCAGTTTCGGATTAGGTCTTTGCACCAGCCATCTCAGTTTGGAGGCCAAGCCTGTACTGAGCAATTGTCAGATCGACGGCCATGTTTCCCAACAAAATTGTGCAATATGGAAGATGTGAACTGTGAAAATAAGATGCAGTGTGACAATGGTAATTTCTGCTTTATAACTAGGTATTTTAGAGATTTTGAACTTTTAGAGTTGTGGTTCCCAAATGTGGGTCCTTAGATAGGTTTGGACTTCACCTTCCAGAAGTTCAAGCCATAATCACCAGTGGTCATGGAGTATGGAAATTGCAGCCCATCAACTTAGGGCACGTGATGGAGAGCAATGAAACACAATTCACAATCATGGAAAGGAAAGGAAAATGGAAATATCCAGTGGACAGTGGGGACAAGAGGAGAATCAAGCCCATTAATGCCACATGACTGCTGGCATATCAGAGCAGACTTATGGCACAGAAGACAGTAAGAGAATAAGTAAGGCAAGACAGTAAGTAGCGATATCAAGAGCCATTGGCACGGTTTGCTCATAGATGAAAGATGCATTTCAGCAAATGAGTGCAATGCAAAACAGCAGCAGGTTAGACATGACATTATGTGATAATACCAGCCAAACACACTGTTGTCCTGCTGCAATTCTGTTTTACCAGGCTAAAGTTCCAAGATTGTCACTGACTTGTATGATAACTCTTGCCTTCTACAACAATTGAGAGAAAAACTCAAGTCCAAAGAGCACAACATATATCAAAGAAGGGTGGCGTTTTTCAGACAAATGCCAAGAATCAGTGGCAGCCAACAAATGAACTGGTGCCCTTCAAAGTTTCCTTTTTAAATTTACTGTGTATTTTAGTAGCTTCCAATTTAACAATGTAGCTGTGGAGGCTGCGTGAAACAATGTGAAGTTGGAGCTGCATTTTAAATTGAACATTAATGTGAGGAGTGCAACGTTTCTGCTTTTCAAGTATTTTAGTGTGAAAGTGTCATGCTGGCGCCTAAGGGCAGAAAGAGAGACGTTTAATGGTGGGTTTCCCTCAATACTCATTATTTCAAAAACATATTAGGGGGTTTGGGTTTTTTTTGTTTTTGTTTTTTACAGAATGGCAATACAATGACATGCAGAAATATAGCAAAGTCCATTTGAGGAGAAAAAAGAAAAAAAACAATATGTCAACAAAATGAGTGAAGGGGGGGTCTGTGCTTTGGCTTTTTAAAGGACTAGTTTTCCAAGAATAGTTTAAAACAATAAAGGCAGATGAAAGAGGTAGAACTGGATCTGTAAATATAGAGGGATAAAACAATATATGAAGTCATGCCAGCCACTTAACCTAGGAGGAGTCTACAGACAATGACAGCTCGTCGGCTTAGAAATGGAGATGAGCACCACCTCTCAGAGTCAGACATGACTAGAATTAATGTCAAGGGGAAATCTTTAGCTTTAATTTAAGGCAATATATTTTTTATTTTTTCTCCCTCCCTTTTTTTGCAACCAGGAAGTAGAACTCAGCTTCCTCTCCATTTTTTTTCCCCATGTTTATTGGTTTTTTTTAATTGTAGGCTAGACTTTTGTGTAACCATTACATAGTAGATTCTGGCTAGTCCTCCCCCTCAAACCCCACTGTCTGATGTTCTCACTCCTTGAGTAAGTTTTGGTACAACAAGCATTTAAAATACCCATGTTGATGTTGGAGATCACATATTCAAGCAGTTTGTCAGTTGATCCTAGTCACTACATAAGTGGAGTTTCATGGTCCGTATGTAGCTACTAAACTAGGGGTTACATATGGAAAAATGAATACATAGTTGTCATGAATTATATACTGTACTTGTACTGCCCAATAGAATCCCAGCCAGCATGTTCTTGATTTATGGAGATCTTTTGGCACAATACTTTTATTCCCTCATCATTAGTGTTCATGTATTCTTCATAGTACCACTAAAGTACCACTGATCCATAGCAGAAGCTGTTGATGACAAATGCATTAGATACTTTTGTTTTGTCAAAAAACAGGTCGCTGCATTGCCAAGAAACTAAGATGTAATGGAGATGATGACTGTGGAGACAATTCTGATGAAAGGAACTGCGGGACCATAAAGCCTGTGTGTGGAAAGAACAGAAGGGAATTCATCAACATACCCAGTGCACAACTTATGGGCCTTGGGTATGTTCTTTTTGCTTGGACAATGGGTTTCACAGGAACTATCCAAAGCGCTGAACCATTTTCCTAAAACTGGTGGATTGTACTAAAATACAAAACAAAATTGAAGCCTTATAAAGGCAACATCTTGCTTCCTCCCTGTAAACAGTTCTATACTGGATTCTCTGTTTGGTTTGAAGGGCTGAAGCTGCTTCTCTTTGGGGGCTAAATTTCCTCATCTGCATGTTTGTGGTCATTGCACTTGGGAAAATAAGGGGAAATAATAAATATCTCAAGAGTTTCTGAGGGCCCTTCCCAACAGGTCCTATATCCCAGGGTCTGATCCCAGGTTTTCTGCTTTAAACTGGATTATATGAGTCCACACTGCCAGATAATCTGGGATAAACAGAATACCAGGTATCAGATCCTGGGATAATGGCCATGAGAGTTACTGTTTTGGACTTCAGCTCCCTGGATTCCCTAGCCAACATGGCCAGTAACTATGATACCTGCAAGATTCTGAGAATGGTAGCCCCAAAATGTAATGTTCCTAAGCTCTGAAATAGCTATGATAAAATGATCTTTAGGGTTAGATGTGATTAGGCTTAGTCCTACATTTCTTCTAATATGGGACCCAAGACAGCTTACAATAAGGTTAAAACGAGATACAGATAAATGCTTGATGACATATAAGGTTAATATATTATTACATTTTAAAAGTAAAAAAAAAATCAGTTCACTATGTAACAATAAAGAGAAATACAACACAATCTCCATTGCCATTAGAAAGATCCTTCATTAATCACTTATTTACCAAATGCCAGTTTAAATACAAATCTTTACCTGCCAATAATACTAATAATAAGAAGAAAAAGAAGGAGGAGAAGAAGAAGCTTTATTTATATCCTTCCCCCTCTCCTCAGAGGAACTTGGGGTGGCTTACAACAAAACAAACAAATACAATAAATAATATAACACAGACAATAATCACATTATTTATTTATTAATTTGAAAGATTTATATTCTGCCCTTCTCACCCTGAAGGGGACTCAGGGCAAAGTACAACATATATAAGGCAAGCATTCAATTCCGAGACATAAAATAACTATAAATATACACAAACATTAAAATCAGTTATATCTGCTTTAAAATCTGCTGTTTAAAACCATCTCAAAAGACTATGCTGGATCTGGTCAGCCGAGTAGGTTCCCAATATTGTAACATCACATTGCCTCAAAGGCAATCACTCAAAGGCAAGAGGCCCTCTCTCTTGTCTCCACCAAATGTGCCTATGACAGTGGCAGGACCGAGAGCAGGACCTCTCCATAAGATCTTAATCTCTGTGGTGGTTCATAAAGGGAGATGTGTTCAGACAGGTAAACTGGACCGGTGCCATTTAGGGCTTTATAGGCCAAAGCCAGCACTTTGAATTGTGCCCGGTAGCAAACAGACAGCCAGTGGAACTGACATAAAATGAGAGTTGTGTGCTCCCTGAATGCCTCCCCAGTTATTAACCTGGCTGCCTCTTGTTGCACTATTTGAAACTTCTGAACAGTCTTCAAAGGCAACCCCACGTAGAGCGTGTTGCAATAGTTTATCCTGGATAGACTATCAATGAATAAAAACAAAAGCTAAAAATAAAAAAAGAAAAGGAAAAAAGAAAATAGCACAATAATGTAAACATAAATAAATAATTTAAAAGACTATAAGGCCAATGAAAAGAGAGCAAATATAGGACCTATCTAGACTCTGTTAGAAGGGAATTCCATAGCTTGGAATCAGTCATTGAGGAAGCCTTTTCCAATATCCTTGCCAAACATGCCTGTGATGAAGATGGGGCCAAGAGAAAGTCCTCACCAAAGCATCTCAATGAATATTTGAGGGTAGACTTATTAAGAGAGGATCTGTATTCAGAGTTAGACCTAAACCACATAGGGCTTTTTAGGTCAGACCACCAGGTTATACAGAGATCTCCAGTTAATGTTTGGAAATGAACCTGTCTGAAATGCCAGGGAGTTTGAGTTGATAGCTCTGCTTAAGAAGAAGCATCTATGTATTCATTTCTTTAAAAAATATATACAATTTTCATTTTAGCTACCATATTTTGGCAGATGAGAGCCGAGGAGAAGTCCTTGACTATGCTTTCAATGGTGGGAACTGTGTCCTTGTGAAGTCTGAAGATAACAGGACAACATATCGTGTGCCTGCAAACCTAGAGTCAGTCAACTTTCAGGTGATTGTAAAGCCTCCCAAAGGATCACTACTGAAATTGGCCAGTAAGCCAATTCAAAGCCTATTTGGAGGGTCACTTGAATGTAGCAACTAGAAATGGATACAATACCTTGCTACGCTTTTCTTGTATGGTTAAAAGCTTTCCTGATTTTCAAAAAACTGACAGGAAAAATATAGGCAGTCATGAGGCTGCTGAGAAATTCTTTGTACTTCAGGAAGTTTTTTGTGCAGAATTTTTCTTCTTCACAGAAATCTGCTTTCTGTACAAAAAAGCATGTGCATTTATGAGTAGGAAAATATGTGCATTTCTGCCCCGAAATATTTTTTTGCACAGAACATCATATATATTTCTCTGCAGAAAGAGCTTTTCTGCACAGAAAATATTTTCTGTGTAAAGATATATTTTCTGTATAGAACAATCAAAGATATTTCTTTTCAAAAAGGTTGTTTTCTACACAGATACTTGCCAAAGTACATATAGCAGTTGAGAATTGTGCAGAAATGTTCATGTTCTTATTTGGTGGAAAGAATATTGCTAGAAATAATACTTAGTGTGTCTTGGGAAGAGTGTACTCTAACCAAGATTACATATATATATATATATATATATATATATATATATAGAGAGAGAGAGAGAGAGAGAGAGAGAGAGAGAGAGAGAGAGAGAGAGAGATAAAATATCGAGATTATTTATTGATTGATTGACTTAATACCACATCTTCCTTCCAGGTTGGAATCCAAAGTGGCTTCCAGTAATTTAAAAGAAAATTAAATTAACATCTAATTTTACAAATGTTTATTGATGCACTCAGTATGATCTTTTCACATAAGCATGTGCCCCTATAGTAGGATATGAATGTATTATTTAAATAACTGCATAGCAGATCAGAGAACATGGCCTCTGCCAGTGTAGGATAACGTTACAGACCCTTTGAAATCTCAGGTTCTGTGCTTCTGGACTCAGACCTAGGCCTGGATGGCAAAGTTTCAGCTGTGGCCAGGACTGTATTTGCTCAGACAAAAAAAAAATTTTTGCCAGCAGTACCCATTCCTTGAGACCTCAGATATGTCTATGGCCTTGATTACATCCTACGTGGACTCCTGTAACATGGAACCATATTTGGAAATTGTTCAGAAATTTTAAATGGTCCAAAATGTTACAATTATTTGACCAGAGTTGGATGCAGTAACCATATGACTCTCAGTGCTGAAAGAACTGCATTGGCTACTGGTCCTTTTCTGGGCAGGAATCAAACTGCTGGTTTTGATCTTTAAAGAGTTTGGTCCAAACTATCTAAAATACTGCATCTTCTTATACATGCCAGGGCAAGCATTAAGATCTGAAGCAGAGGTGGGAGTGGGGGTATCTCAGTCCTCCCAACTAGACAGGCTCTTTTGGTGAGGACTCAGGAGAGACTTTTCTCATGGCCAGTCCCAAACTGTGGACCTCTCTTCCACAGGAAGTCTGGTTGGCCTCCACTGGAAAATATTGATAAGACTATATAGGCAGAATCTGAGTAGCACTGATTTATTTATTTTTCTTTAAAAGACTTATTCTTTTTATTTTCCTTATTACTTCAGGTGAGGACTGAAAACTGGTCATTTCTCCCAACCCATCAGCCCTGTTCGAACTTCTGCCTGAAACTATGCTGAAGGCTCTAAATCAGTGGTTCCCAACTTTTTTTTTTACCAGGGACCACTCTCCAACATTAGTACCAAAAGGGACAGGGCTGGTCAGCTCTGTGGAAAGGAGCGGAAATAAAATAAAATAAAATAAAAAGGAAGAAGGTTCACAGACCAGATTTTTGTTCTCGAGACCCACTGCTGGGTCATGGCCCACAGGTTGAGAACCACTGCTCTAAATGGATGAAGTCAGAGGTGGATTTTGGATCATGCATACTCTGTCAACTTTCACTCAGTCTCTAAGTGGCATGCATCTGAAAGGGCACATGTAGCATGCAAGTAATAAGAAATCACTGTGAGCAGAGTTTAGGAAACAGACTATAACTCCCAGAACCCTCCAATCAGAACGGCCATTGGGAATGATGGAAACAGACATCCAAAAAATGCTTCTAGACATTTCTTGTATGTTTTTGTATTTGTAGTAAATTGAAAATGAATAAAACATCCCTCCCTTTTTGCAAGCAACCTTGGAACCTTAAGGACTAGGAACAGAGGGAAGCAAAGGGAAATGTCTGGATAGAGATAGGGTTTATATTTTAAATTATTTGACAAAAGCTTTGGTTTCCAGCTGTCTTTATTTTTACCGTTTCTTCAGTCTCAAAACTTCTTTTTACAGGTGAGCAATCAAGAAGATGAAGTGAAAGCCCATTATTATACAGATTTAACATCCATAATGCAAACTCAGAATCAACAAGGTTCATCTTATGAAACTTCAAAAGGCTATGCTGGAATCCCAATTTTCTTTGGTGCAGGACATAATTTAATGGTGTCATCATCTCATTCCTTTAAGGAAGCTGTTAAATCATCTCACAAAATGGTAAGAATATATTGCTATATATACTGATAGCTTCAACTTTGAAATCTTAATTTTAGGCTGGATCTACACTGTCAAATTCAGATTACCTGCTTTGAACTGGATTATATGAGTCTACACTACCATATAATCCAGTTCAAAGCAGATAATCTGGATTTTATATGGCAGTATAGATGGGACCTTTGTCTTTTACTAAATGGGCCAGGACTATGATGCTGAAATGGATTTATTGTTAAAAAAACAAGAGGGGGGGGGGGGCGGGAGGGAATGGCAATTCATAGTAATGAGCATTGTAATTTTTTTTTTGTCTTCTCTGAAAGAGTTCCAACTTCATTAGGGTCCATAAGGTGATTGCCGTTTCAAACTTCACAGTAAAACAGTCAGACTTGCAGGTCTCCAGAGTCTTCTTGAATGCCCTCAACAGCCTGCCTCTGGAATACAACTATGCCCTTTACAGCCGGATATTTGATGACTTTGGCACTCATTACTACACATCTGGCTCATTGGGAGGGAGATATGATCTTCTTTACCAGTTCAATGAAGAAGAGACAAAAAACTCAGGTGTGTGTCTATCTGATGTATTTGTTGCTGTGGTATCCAAATGACATTTCTGCTGCCCTGTACTATTTTTGGGAAATTACTGTTGGAATTCAACCCTACACTGCCCGAGGCTCAAGTCCTCAATGAGGAACATTTTAGTTAGTTTAGTATAGACCAGGGGTCCACAAACTTTTTAAACAGAGGGCCAGGTCACAATCCCTCAGACTGTTGGCGGGCCGGATTATAATTCAAAAAAATCATGCACACTGCAAATATCTTTATTTGTAGTGCAAAAAAACATTTTAAAACAATACAATTTTAACAAATATAAACTTATTAGTATTTCAATGGAAAGTGTGGCCCTGCTTTTGGCTGATGAGATAGGATTGTTGTTGTTATTGAGTGCTTTCAAGTAGTTTCATACTTAGGTTGACCCAGAACGAGGGCCGGGTAAATGACCTTGGAGGGCCGCATCCGGCCCCCGGGGCTTAGTTTGAGGACCCCTGGTATAGACTAAGGGTTTCCCTTCCCCATGTCTCCTGAATGACAGTTGGGAATGTATATTTTTCTTGTCTCTTCTTTCTTTCTGCTCTCATTCTGATTGGTCATTTAAAATTGATATTTTTCTTCTGCAAGCTTTTTGAACGTGACTTCTGCCTTTTTACACTTTAGTATGGAGAGTATGTGCTGTATGCTTTGAGATCTCTCTCTGCTTGTGTGTCAGGAGAGATCTAGTGATTGAGTTTTTCCCTCTCTCGAAACCTTAGAAGAGATGGGTGTTAGAGGAGCTCAGCCCCAGTTCTTGATTATTAAGAAATGCAGTTGTTTCATTTTATTATAAATAAACCTTTTGTGATTTTTAAAAGATTGGACTCTGCATGTTTGCCTCCTAAGCTCTGAATTTTTTACAGCCACATCACACAGCACTTCACACTCTGCTTACTAATGAGCTGATCTCAACTTTTGTATCCTGTTTTTGGATGCTCTGCTTTATTTTAGGGTAGTTTTCCCTAACAATTACCAGTACCAGTTACAATGCTTATTCCAACTTCAAGACATATGAAACCAATGTGTCCGCTTTTCTTTTTCTCTTTCTTTTTACTTTTTAAAAGAGTTATAGTTCTATAATGCATCTATGAAATAGCACTTTTGCAATAAAGGCCGTATACCTGTAAATAAAAAATTCCAAAAGGAGAAAAAATTAAAATGTTATGACTATCTCAGCAAACCATAGCTGATGACAAGAATATAAGTTCAGTTGCAGGAAATATCCAACAGTCTACAAAAAGAATAAAGAATGAGAATGGTGATGCAAAACCCAACAAAAGCTTGGTATAGTTCTCTGAGTTTTACTTTCATTTTTAGGTCAATTAGGAAAAAGTCTGGATAAGGTTTAGGACTTGAATTCAAGAGGTAAAAGATTTAGGCCAAGTTACCAATGGCTGGTAAATCTGAGGCAGTCCAGAGCAGAAATGCTTCAGGTTGGTCCAAACCTACAGCACTGTCCCAAACTCATGGTGGCGGCAGATCAGAATCCACATGGTCCAGCTGGGCCAAGACTGCATTGGCTCCACAGGGCTGTGATGTTACTCTCTGTGTCATCACCACTGCTCCCAGCAAAGGCATCTACATAACTAGGAAGAAGGAGAGGGCTGGTTTCTCCACCTTCTTCCTGGTCTTGTGGGTGCCTCTGCAGATGTCAGAATGGGGTCCCATGATGGCCATGGACCTCTGCTGTAATCTTGGAATGGTGACAGCATTGACACAGGTGTGATCCATCCCTCATGAGCACAGGGGAAAGGAGATGGCAGCAGTGCCTGATGTGGACAGTGCACTGGTTTAAATCATACCTGATCTTGCTGTCCTTATGACCCTGAAGCCATGAAGTTGCCCCAGAGTTTCAGGCAAATTCCAGAGCACAACTCACAACTTCTTTCTAGTCAGTCTTAAAACAGATTAACCCATTTCACCATAAATGCAAGGACATTGTGGGGTATTGGTTATAATGGCCATCTAGATGAGCCTCTAGATCAGGTACAGACAGGTTTTGGCTCCCTATATGATTTGTAATTTAACTCCCAGAAATCCCAACCATCTTACTGACTGTAAGGAATTATGGGAGTTGAAGTCCAAAGCAACTGGAGGGCCAAAGTCTTCCCTAGACCAGTGGTTCTCAACCTGGGGCTCCCAGATGTCTTTGGCCTTCAACTCCCAGAAACTGGCTGGGATTTCTGGGAGTTGTAGGCCAAAAAATCTGGGGACCCCAGGTTGAGAACCACTGCTCTAGACCATGGATAAGGAAAACCCTTGGCCCTCCAGATTTTTTTTTTTGAAACCCAGTATTGTCAATGGAAAGGAACTGTGAGGTCAAAGTTACTTCACTGTCTAAATAAAAATAATAGTAATAATAATAATAATAATAATAATAATAATAATAATAATAATTAAAAATCCAGGTCACAGCACAGTAAAATATACACAACTACCATAACAATTCTACAAACACACATACTAAAATGCAGTTTCATAAAATATACATATCAAAGCATTTCTATAAAATACACATTAATTAAACATTAGAATTAAAAGAATTCATGTGATTGGTGTACCATTTTCAAGCATGTTGTAGCACACAATGAAGACCAGGCAGAAGTTTGTCCTTTGAAGTTGTCTATTCATGTTCTGGGGCTAAATCCAATGTTAGTTCTAGCAGAAGTAGGCTCATTGAAAACAATGGTATTGTCTGGATAAGATTACTTATTTATTTTAAATGGGTCTACTCTAGTTGAGACTAGCAATGGATTTAGCTCCCAAATCTTCCCTTTTTAAAAATATGTTCAACTAGAAGATTATTTCAAAAGGATTTTGTAGTTTGAGAGTTGTCTACACACTATGCTGGCCCTCATGATTTTAAGGATCAATTATCACATTGCTTGGAATTTTGAGTGAATTTGTCTTTTTTGGGAAATTCATGTCTTTTTTTCTGGTTGAATGTTCTCCAGGTTTAACACAAAAAGAAATGGCAAGCTGTGTGAAATTTGAAACAACGGTTTATATTTTTTTCATCCCAATAAGAAACCGTTATGAGAGATGTACCCGCAGTAAAATGACAGAGCGCTATGAAGGTACATATCTGTTTCCAGGACTTCCCACACTTTTCTACCAAAGTCCTAATGAAATTTTCCTCCGTACAATCCAGTTCTATTTGGATCATAAGGACTTCCAAATTAATATGAAAGGTCATTATGGCTGCAGATCCATACCCATTTACATTGTTTCTAACAGGACTTACTTCAGCACACACAATAGTGGAGAAAGGTAGATGGGGGATCTACTGGTAGTTTAGAAACTTCTGATAGATTCCTAGGTAAATTTGAGTGGTTCTCCTCCATAGGTATCAATTGCTCAAATATGTAACACATGAAAAAGATTCCTAGTCACTGTATCAAGGTTGTTGTTGTTTTGGTCGTGTCAGGAGCAACTTGAGAAACTGCAAGTTACTTCTGGTGTGAGAGAATTGGCTGTCTGCAAGGACATTGCCCAGGGGACACCCGGATGTTTTGGTGTGTTATCATCCTTGTGGGAGGCTTCTCTCATGTCCCCGCATGAGGAGCTGGAGCTGATAGAGGGAGCTCATCTGCGCTCTCCCCGGATTCGAACCTGCAACCTGTCGGTCTTCAGTCCTGCCCACACAGGAGTTTAACCCACTGCACTACCGGGGGCTCCACCAAATCAAGGTGTTGAAATGGAAAAGCCTTGAGCATCAGAGAAAAAAACCAGTGCTATGTAATGATTGGAGCATTGGACTATGACTCTGGACATCTGCTGTCCATAGAAATCCACTGGATGACCTTGAGCAAAGTTACATACTTTCAAAGTGCATATACACAGTAGAATTAATACAATTTGACAGCACTTTAACTGGCATGGCTCAATGTTGTGGAATCATGGGATTTGTAGTTTGTCGAGGCACCAACACTCTTGGCAGTGAAAGCTAAGGACCTTAATAAAACTACATGTCTCATGATTCTATAGCATTAAGCCATGTCAGTTAAGGTGATGTCAAACTGCATTAATTCTGCAGTGGAGATGCACTTGTACTCTGAGAGGTAGAGAGATATTCTTGAGAAAACTTGTCAAGAAAACCCAGTGATTGGTTCACTTAGGCTCATCATGAACTGGAAATAGTTGAAGGTACACCACCACTACATCAATCAAGAGTAAGCAGAGCTTTCAAAAGACACTTCATTAACTACAGTTCTTAGACTCCCACGTATTGATTTGGAGGTTCTTTAAGCTGTTGCCCTAAATAACTCTGTGTTCTGGCCTGAAATCTTAGGTTCCATACTGAAGTCCTCTGAACGGTCTATTTCCCTGGTAAAGGGAGGGCGGGCACAGTATGCTGCAGCCTTAGCCTTTGAGAAAAAGGGATCTTTGCCAGGAGAAAACATCTTTAATGACTGGCTGGAGTCAACCAAGGAAAATCCTGTCGTGGTTGAGTTTGAGGTAAGAGCTGGAGAAATTAGGAGTAGAAACAAGGGAAAGCAGAACTTTTTAATATCATCCAAACAACTCCTCAGACTATACATATTTCCAGGTTATTGGAAATTCAGGGTTACTCCACCTTAAAAAAATACTTGGTGCATCTTCCCAGGTATGGTGTCTGAGGGAACTGACCCTTGGGATTGCCATATACAATCCTGAGACTCAGTCCCCACAGCCATCCTTCTTCTTCTGGCTCCGGTAGCTCATGGGGGAAGAGGAGGGTAGAATGACACTGTACCCCCCCCCCATTTCATCCTAAAATGTACCTCACAGGCCTCCAAATGGAAGCACGAGGCATGTAGAGAGTTCCTGGCATGTCAAAATGATGTGCCAGGAGCTTTGGAAAGAGGAGAGGGATTCCCCCCCCCCCCAAAGCTTCTGGCATCCTTTTAACGTGCCAGAAGCTCTCTGCAAGTCTTATGTCTCCGTTGGGAAGCCTTTATGTTATGTTTTGGGGCAAAACAGGGGGTGGGAGCCAGTGGCAATACCCTCAGGCCAATTGTCGATCAACCTGGGAGGGAATCTGGCCACCCACCATCCACCAAAGAGGCAGGGGTTTAGCCAGCCAATTGGCCTCCATATGCAAATGACATCAGAGTTTAAAACGCCAATGTCATTCGCATATAGGTCTGTGTGGAAGTGGCCTTGCCGTGAACATATTTGAGATCCTAGTCTGATTCTTTCTTAGGTGGCTCCCATTCTGGATTTGGTGAAGAACTTTCCTTGTGCTGTGACAAAGCGCTATAATCTGAGGAAGGCTTTTTTGGAATATATGACTAGATATGACCCATGTCATTGTGCCCCATGTCCCAACAATGGTCGGCCTGTTTTATCTGGAACGGAATGCCTCTGTGTGTGCAAAGCTGGAACCTATGGCAGTAACTGTGAGAGAAGAGCCCCAGATTATACATCAGGTATTTATTTTAATATTGTAAATATGGGTTTTAGGATAGTCTGGGTTAGGATAGTCCGGCTTCACTTCAGATCATTACTAATACATCTTTCTGTTGGTTAAAAAAACTGAAATACAAATATAATCACACCTATAAACTAAAATAGCATACTCAGGAGCTCAGTGGTTGCTTCCTCTCCTCCCTCCTCCTCTTCCCCATCCAAGTCTTCCCTCCTCTTTCCTGCTCTTCCTCCTACCACCTCCCTTGCTGCCAAAACCCTTTTTTCCTTCCCTCCCTTTCCCCAAAAGTCTCTTCTCCCCCCCCCCATCTCTCTTGCCACCCAGAATCTTTCCCCCTCACCTTCCTTGCTACCAAAACCCTATTTCTCTCCTAGCACTCAAGGGGTGCTTTAATTGTGCATTTCCTGCATGGCAGAAGGGAGTTGAACTGGATGGCCCTTGAGGTTTATGCTATTATTGTTGTTATTGTTATTACTACTACTATTACAAAGGCTGGGTGGCCATCGGTTGGAGGTGGTTTAATTGTGCTTTTCCTGCATGGCAGAAGATGGTTGGATTGGACAACCCCTGGGGTTGCTCCTGTAGTTGTTGTTGTTGTTATTATTGTTGCTATTATTATTATTACAAAGTCTGGATGACCATCTGTTGGGGGTGCTTTGTGGCTGAGATATATGTGTGTGTGTGTGTATACTCTGCCCTATCTTCCAGTGTTTTTAATATTTTCTATAATATTTTAATATTTTCACTGGCCCTGCCTAGTGAAATTTCCTGTGTTTTTAATGCTTGATTTTATATTGTTGTGTTGTATATTATTTTGATTTTGCATTTTATGTATTTTGCTTGTTTTATTGTGTTTATGTTATAGCTTGTATTGTACATTATATTATACATTCAATATAATGTGTGTGTATACATTATATAGAATATATAATATAATATATAAACATTTCTTGGGACTCCATGAGAACCCCTGATCTATACTATTGAATTAATGCCTCTTGCTACTACTTTATCTCCCATGGCTCAATACTGTGCAATCATATTGCAATTGCAAGTTATAGTTTTGCAAGACCTTTAGCCTTCTCTGCCAAAGAGTGCTGGTGCCTTACAAAACTATAAACCCTAAGATTCCATAGTATTGAGCCATAAAAGTGATGTCAAAGCACAGTAATTCTACAGTGTAGAGCCACTTTAACTCTTTGAATTCAATGGAGACTTAATCCTAAAACCATATAAATAAATTTGTAACCTCAGCCTCTTTTATTTTGTACATCAGCCAAATGTCATTAGTTGATTGATAAATGATAGGAATGAGTGAATGATTTACTGACTAAGCTGCATGAAATGTGATGGTAGTCATTAGTGTCAGTTTTGAAAGGGGATTAGACAAGTTTATTACATATAAAGTACAACAACAACATCAAGAACGAGAAAGTGCATATTATTCAGAAACTCATTTAATGGGGTAAGACTATTCCTGTTGATATCCCTTCAAATAATACTGCAGAAATGTTTTTTTGTTTTGGAACCTAGATGCAGTAGATGGCTATTGGAGTTGCTGGTCTGCATGGAGCCCATGTGATGCATCTTTTAAGAGGAAAAGGACCCGATTGTGTAACAATCCCGAACCCATGAATGAAGGAAAACCCTGTGAAGGAAAAGGAGAAGAGGAAGAAGACTGTTTTATTCAGTTGTTTGGAGACCAGTAAGATTTTTTGGTAGAAGAGGTGGAAAATGTTTGCTTCATCAATCATTTTTTTCTACAACCTCTACAGTCCATTATTGGAATCTGTAAGCCAAAACATCCAAAGGCAGAAAGTTGGTCATGCCAGTTTTATATGGTTTCCCTATCCCAGATTTATATAGTATCACCAAAGTTCAATAATCAACTCCAATAGTCAACATATAAGTAAATTCAAATGATTCAATGCCTCTATTCTGGTCAAAAGTTACAATAGTATAGCCTAAAGGACTATAGGACTATACCCTGGCCCTGCAATTCTCACCAACCTCGAAAGGTTGATGGCTGAGAACAAGCAGAAATATGTACATCGTAGGATTGGGTGTGTACTGTAAGCATTTATCAGCATTAGAGTATCCTTAAAATCTATCATATCGATATAGCCAAGTAGGGATTGTATTAGGGTTTGAAATGTCTCAATGGAAGAGATAAGCAGTGCAATCCAAAGAACTTCCCCATTTTTTTCTGGAAACCAAATGCATCATCATAGTAGATTCTAGTCTAGAGCAAGAGTGGGGAGTCTTGTTGTGGTTCAGCAACAGCATGATGGGACTGATGGGACTGAGAGTGCAAGTGGGCATGATGGGAATGGGA